GGAAGGACCTGACCATTCTGATGACAGACATAAACGCCAAAGTCGGAATGGAAAACACCGGTTATGAATATATGGGACAAGAAGGACTAGGATAAAGGAACGAGAATGGCAAGAGATTTGCAAATATATGTTCACTCAGCAAAATGGTTATTGGTGGCTGACATAGCTTCAGATCACCACCTGTTGGTGGCCGAGATGAAACTGAAAGTAAAGAAGCACTGGGCAATTGGAGAAACATCATTACAAAAGTTTAAATCAGCCCTCCTTCGAGATACTGACAAACTCAACGAATTCAAGATAACTCTCAACAACAGGTTCCAAGCCTTATAAGATTTATCAAAGAAGAGGAAACTACTGTGGAGGACCATGAAGAGGGAATCAACTACCAAGCAGTAATTTGAGCTTGCCAGGAGGTTTTAGGCCGCAAGAAACATCATCATAAGGTACGGATCTCTATCGAGGTCGTGAGCAGGATTCAAGTAAGAAAAAATAAGGCAAACCAACCACTGAGATTCAAAAATGGAGAAAAAGGTGAGTAGAACACTTCGAGGAACTCTTGACTAGATCAGCTTCATTAAATCCACTGAACGTCGAGACAGCATCTACAGACTTTCCTATAGCTGTCACTCCACCGACAATCGAAGGCCTCAAGTTAGACAAAGGAAAAAGCAAGATTCTCAAGTACAAAACGGGGAACACCAACTCAGTCAAACTTGGTGAAGAAACTCTGGAAGAGGTGGAATCCTTCATGTACCTGGAAAGCATCAATTAATGAACAAGGAGGATCGGATGCAAACGTAAAGGCGAGGATTGGCAAACCAAGGACCACATTCTCACAATTGAAGAACATATGGAACTCAAAACATCTGTCAATCAACATCAAAGTCAGAATATTCAATGCGAACGTTAAGACAGTTCTACTGTACAGAGATGGAACTTGTAGAGCTATCTCAACCATCATCAAAATGGTGCAAGTAATTATAAACAATTGTCTGTTCAAAATTTTTATTGCCCGTTGATCGGTTACCATCAACAACAGCCTGCTGTGGATGAGAACAAACAAGCTTCTATCTGAAATGGAAACTAGGCAAAGTCGTTGGAAGTGGATAGGACATACATTGATCTCATGCTACTTTTACACCTATATACATACCTACTTACATATACCTATCTCTACATAAATGCCTACCTATGTATAATAAATAGTAATAGTTTCTACAATACTATGGTATTACCACAATAATAATATAATAATAGTTAGCTTATGTCAGAAAAACCCGCATGCGATATGGCAACCTCATCAATAATTGAGATGGTGGAGATTTGTAGTCCAGGTGGGGTGATTTTCGTAGAGCTTCCAGCTCAGAGACAAGGCAAGCCCTCACATGGAATCCTGAAGGCCAAAGGAAAGGAGGAAGACCAAAGAACACATTACTCCGAGAAATGGAGACATGAGAAGAATGCACAAAAATTGGATAGAACTAGAAAGGAAGGCTCAGGACAGAGTGGGTTGGAGAATGCTGGTCGGCGGCATGTGCTCCATTGGGAGTAACAGGCGTAAGTAAGTAATGAAGTCCAGCTCAGTGAGCGGAACTCCATCAAAACCAGCAACGATATCTGTTCACTTGGCACACAGATCGCCAGTTTTATGCCTGGACATATAAAGATGTATCGAGCAATCAGGGAATAGTTTGCAATTAACCAATGAAATTCGGTCAAAATATTGTATGTTGAAAAAAATAGTTACTTATGAGTAACACAGTTATATTACACAAATCTCACAAGTTGTTCCTATCTTAATTCATCTTGTGTAATGAATGGTCAATAGTATAAGGTTTTCTTGGTGTCCTGGTGACTTTCATTCTCACTCATGATCTAGTAGGTCGCCTATAGTCATTTTATTTTGTATGAAATATGGATGATATTTTCATACAACTAACGAGAATTTAACTAAATAGTATTGTCTTTTGATATTCATTGATTTTTGTTTCAGTTTTCTGTTTTGGTTATGAGCCACTTTATCTGCTTACTTTGTTCAGTCTATTATCAGTTAATTCATTATTTAAATAATTAATTGTAACGTTAAAATAATCTTTTCATCGTCCTTGTAGTCTTTTCATTTTTACCTGATATCCCTTTTTCCCTCTTTTTAGGCTACTAAATTTGCATTGAATTATTTACAGAAATATGGGTCCAACTTGAAAGCAGTTTTGTTTGGCGGTTCACATGGAGGCTTTTTAACGTTACATTTAGCCTCACGATATAAAAACTTATATCATGTAGCTACAGCTCGTAATCCAGTAACTCATTTAATCAGTCTTATTGATACATCTGATATACCGGATTGGTGTTATACTGAATCGGGTTTAGCAGATTGGCGTGAATGGCCTCTTGGTTATTTACCGAATGAAAATGAATTAGCACGTTTATCAAATCAATCTCCTTTGAAATATTTAGATAAAACATGGTCTGTGCCTTTGTTAATGTTGCTAGGTGGAAAAGATCGTCGTGTACCAAATAGTCAGGTTAGTAGTTTGAAATTGTAAGTTATAATATTTAAAAATTATCCACAACCCAGTGCTTCCAGATTTTCGATTTTGATCTAAATAAGATGATTTCGTGATTTAAACTTCGAGAATTCTACAATTTCCACAAATCCCCCTATACTAATGATGATTCGCTCACTAGTGACTAAATGCGAGATATGACTCCTGAAGCTCTAGTGAGAAGCTTTGGCCAGTGAAGTTCAATCATGTGGAGTATGAGACAGTTACCCACTGAAGATGATCGAAGATAGTCGCACATTGTTGTGGGTTGATTCAGGTTAGACATTGGCACCATTGGATGGGCGTTCAATGGTCTATTTGTTAAGCGTTCGAGTCTAAGGATCCTAGGTTTGCGTCCTGCATGCAAGATTGTGGACGCGCACTGACAAGGAGTCCCGTTCTAGGATGAAACTGGCGTCCAGTGCTTCCAGGTTTCCAGTTGTCTAATTTGAATTAGTTCGTGATCTCGAAAAACTCTTTTATGCTAAAAAGAGATTGTTTAATAGTTAGTTATTTTAGTGTAAATTGTCATCTCTTGGTACATCGTTATCAAAATGATAGCATAAAAATGAATTTAAATACTTTTCTGTCTGATTGTTTACTTGTTTATCTTGATTTTAGGGATTAACATTCTGCCGAAAGTTGAAAGCTTTATGTCCAACTGTACCATGTGAAACGCTTCTCTATCCATATGATTCACATCCACTGGATTCTCCAGCATGTTCATTAGATGTTTTTGTGGATTGCGTAAATTGGTTTTTAAAACACTTGTAAAACTTGTGAAAAAGCATAATGCTATGTTTTCTTTTCTGTTCATTTTGTTCATGTCGAAATAAATAAGTAAACAATTAGCTTCATGTTATTGCATTTCTTTTTGTAAATGTACATTTTTAAAATTGTTTTTGTATATACCTGTGCACACGTATCTATCATGAATAGCTCAGTGGTGATGTGCTTTAGTGCTGGATGTTAATGAGTTTGAATCTTGAATGAGATGATCTCTAGTGCTATTAGTAGCGCGTAGGCGGTTACCACTTCCTATTTGCCCACACCATAGGAGGATAGTTCTTGGGGTCCTTGCAAAGTAAACTGAATTATTCTCTGAAGAAGTAGCTTACACTGAGTCACGAAACGTCAGAAAATCTAATTTTTCTACTCATTGGGATATTACAAATATATAATTTATTTATGAATTAGTAGTGGTTTTGGCAGTTTGAGAGCGGGAATACAGAACCCAAGAAATAACTACTAAGGGTTTTTAGTAATTATTTTTAAATGAGGTAGATTCATATTTCCAAGGCCTTACCATCGGCGACAGTAATCTGCGGGCTAAAGTGAGTTGTGGTATTTCCAGAGTCTACGTTCTGTAACTCCCCTTCCATTGTGGGAAAGTAGCGCCGCTGCAGATGCTAGTTTTCTGACGTTAAACCCCTGTACAACTTCGTTCTCGGACCATAACTCTCTTGTGTTTAGTCTTCCCGCTCCTCAAACGACCTGCTTAGGATAGTTGAGTCTAAATCAACAAGCCTTCTACTCGACACTACTCAGTTGGGTCATTATTATACTCAAGGTTTACCTTCAAGCCAACTCAGCAGCTATGGCTGCATTGGTTTGAATGCCATAGGAAACTGCATTTTCCCGAAGACTGTTGATATGTTTTAATGATGAGCATTAACTATCATGATATTTAGTTCCGAGGCTTAATGTCAATCACATCCACCCATTTAGCTTATACATTTAGAGGAGTTGATCCGTTGCTTTGAATACGGTAGAAACTAAAACAGTAGTTTACTATTCCCTATTGAAAATCATAACACAGTGCGTAAAATTGGAAGATTTGACAATGATAATTTCTGTAGTAAACAAAATAGTATTTTAAAAGGTTTAGAAGACAATGTTAAGATGCTATACACCTAGGATCTGCTAGAATTATCACGCTTACTTTACAATCCTCACAATATCTCAACCTAGAAAACGGTGATGATTAAGTCACTGATGTGAACTAGTTCATTAGTCCGAGTCTCGGAAACGTCAGACGATAGCACGTGACCTATGATTACTAAGCCTCATTGCATAGCGAAAAATATGGTTCTTCACATACATTTCTAATTGATTTGTTTGTTTAAACACATAAATATCGGTACAAGGGGGCACCAGATATATATACGCCACACAAATCTCATTTGTGAGGGCTGAGATACTGCCCAGGTGCCCAGACCGAAGCAGGTTTTCTTATTGATGTCTCGATTTATCACCTGCTGAAAAATGAGTTGTGTTTTAGAATGTTCAATATTCAATATGACTAGATTCAGCTGAAGAGGCACATACTGTACAAAATGAGCTTCTTGAATTCTATTAGTAACCACAGTCCCATTTTCTCGGTTTTTAAAAAAAAAATATAAATGAACTCATTAGATTATATAAAATTCTTAAAATCCTAATTGTCTTATTTTAGTATTAATATGACCAGTATCGACAGTCATTTTGGAGAGTTTCTGGACAATGAAGATAATGAACAAGAGCAGGATAGTAAACCTGTGAGATATAAATTTGTTTTTATTATTTGCTTATAATCGTTCATATATTTGAGACAGAAATAATATTGTTTTTCTGTGTAATATTAAAATGAGAAAATGTTTATAAATTCCACCATAGGGCACTTGGTGCAAAATTCTTGAATATCGATTCATCCATAATCTATTATAAGGAATGATTTATGATTAAAAGAGTCATTCTAAATGAACAGGTATGTTTGTATTTAGCTTACTTACTTACTTACTTACGCCTGTTATCCCTCGTGGAGGAGCATAGGCCGCTCACTAGCATTCTCCATCCAACTCTGTCCTGAGCATTCCTTTCCAGTTCTTTCCAGTTGTTATTCATCCTTTTCATATATGCTTCTATTTCCCGGCGTAATGTGTTCTTTGGCCTTCCTCTTTTCCACTTCCCTTCCGGATTCCAAGTTAGGGATTGCCTTGTAATGCACATTGGTGATTTCCTTAATGTATATCCGATCCACTTCCGACGTCTTTTCCTAATTTCCTCTTCAGCTGGAAGCTGGTTTGTCCTCTCCCATAAAACGCTGAGTGATATTCAGGACAATAACAGTGTTCTATTTGCGGTTTGTTATATGAATGTATTTGAATTATTATTTATTATTTAAACACATAAACCTTGTTACACGGAGCCATCAAGTAGATATGCGCCACATAAATCATTCGATTTTTGTGACGGCTGGGATACTACTCTTGTGCCCAAACTGAAGCAGGTGGTTTTCTTAAGGGGCCACACTTCGAGCATTTGACCTAGAGGTCTAGTCCACAAGGTAGTGTAGCAACGTTAGGAGATGCAGTCCCATGGTAGCTGGTGACCAACATAAAGTTAATACACAATTTGTTTCTTTAGGATCCTGGAGCCCATGTGAACCGTTGGTTTAGAATCAGGGTTTTCCAACTCCCCTAGGTGGACTTTCCGTGTCCACCAACCCGGTTAATGCTCCGGACATTTTCTTTTCGTCCTCTCAATCCCGTAAACAACAGTAATGCGGCGAGAAGGCAGTGAGTAGAACTTCCGTGGCAGTGGTTGTATGCACATGGACATGTGAGAGCATTTCGAGAGGGAGAGTTTACTCTCCCCACTCTCGGCCGTACTGCATTTGGGGGCAATGTATTTGAATCCTGGTGTAGGATTTTCTTGTCAAAACTCAAACCTAACGTCATTCCGGTTTCAAACTGTAGCTAAAAAAGTACGATAGATATCACTTGTTGAACGGTTATATAACATATTGTCACGTATAAATGTTAGAATTCATATCTAGATTAACTGGCCTCAGTTAACGTGTGCAAGAATCAGTCCCATAACAATTGCAGGTGCCCGTTGCTGATGTGTCAACAGGGTTTCCAGTTGACTATCTCCGACCACACAACAGATTAGTGACTATCATGTTATTAAATGTACAGTGGTGACTTTACTTTGATAATAAGTTACTAAGTATGTCAGTACAACTAGTTGAGGCCCCAATATTTTGACTCTCATATTAGACTATCAACAGAAAGTGTTGCACTAATGTTCTGTTAAAAATACATCAGTGTGAAGTAGTTTTTCATTTCTCGGTTTTAGATGTTTCTTGTAAAATGGTGACTCAGTGGTTCAAGTATTTGGCCCTCAACTGGTAGGGCATATGGTTCGGATTCGTCTCATCCATGTCGGTAGTAGCACCCATGTTGTATCACTATTTTTCTAGATTACATCACGAACTGACCTTAGATAACTGTTGAAAACCAGGATACACCACACAGTTTCTTCATCCTAGTATAGGGCTACTGAGTTGCTTTGGAAGATGGTTGTATAGCACCAGGAATTGATCAGACTCAGAGATGTCAACCGTTGATTGTCGAATCAGTGTTCATGGCGAGATTTGAAGGTCCTCTTGAATACTCACTTTTGGGAAATTCAATACTAGAACAAAACAGCTGTCCAACGTTTCCTGGTTCTCAATGTTTGTCTAACTAAATGAGTTCGTGATGTAAACTACGAAATTTAACAATTTCTATAAACCATTTATGTTAATATCATCACCATTACTTACGCGAACAGTTTAATTGAAAGTCTAGTACATAGGCTTTTTATTTCAACAAATAAGTTATTCCATGGATAATTCTTTCATGTTAAGTGCTTACAATTGTGGACTATTGATTGGTTTTTAACAGATTGGCCCCTAATCATACAATATTAAATAATAGTCTATCTGTTATCTATATAGATTTTAAATTGTAAATTGTTCTCTTTTTTATATTTATCTAGCTACAAGACATGCGTTCTGGTGTAATATTTTTGATTGATTGTACGCCGACAATGCTTGGATTACATGGTTCATTCGATTTAAATAGTAGTAATGCAGTGGATTCATCATCAGTAAAAAGTGGATTTGATTTAAGTCTGTTATGCTGTCAAACATTTCAACAGAATAAAGCACTTCATAGTCCTTTTGATATGATCGGACTTGTTTTAATGCGTACAGTAAGTTTTATTTTTGTTAACATTTAGTTGTACTACCTTATTTGATCGAAATGTTTCAATTTTTATAATTGGTTGGTCTCTTTGCAGGATAAGGTTTATCTACAGTGCTTTTCAATCGTTCACCATCTGACATCACTCCTTAATGAAAGCTTTTTGTTTCATATCACCCACCGATGTTGATGTATGTAAATTACAATTAAATATACCTCTTTGAACAGCTTGTCAGTTTATTTTATGTTTAAGAAGGGTTTGATTGTTGTGAATAAATAAATAAGCGGCACATAAACTATGTGGTCTTAACTGTTAAGTATTTTCCTTGAGATCTTAAGGTCTTGTCTCCAATCACTTGTGTGGAGTCGTGAATGTGTACCTCTACAGAGTCCCTTAATAGGACAAAACAGTTGTCCAGTGCTTCCTGGTTTTTAATGGTTGTTTTTAGTTAGATTCAATTTATAATGTAAAACTTCGAATCCAAGAATTTCCGCAATTACCTGTAAACCCAATCATCATGTGTTTACTAGTGATTAACCTCAAGTGTTAATTCCAGGAATTTTAGTGAGAACCTATGACTAATGTAGAATGTAAGATGAACATCACCAATGGCAATAGATGATAGTCAAGCAAAATCGTAAATCGACTGAAGTTTGAATGTAAATCGTTAGTCCAACATTTAAGAACTCGTCACGGGTTCTGATGGTACTTGGCCTTCATCTTTATTAGATTCGTTGATGCTCACTGCTGATAAGTTCTATACTAGAAGGAAACAACTATCTAATGCTCCCTGGTTTTCAATAGCTTCTTAACTGAAATCGTTCCTTGTTGAATATCACATGCAAAAAAGTATTTTCGTTACATATCTTTGTCTTTTTTTTTCTCTGTTAAAGAGTGAATCATCTGTTGACATGAAGAATATTATGGTCTTACAGGTTAGTTAAAAGATCTTAACCAATTTTTCATATTATCTAAACAGTATAATACTAATTTGGATTGGTGACTAACGTTTACATGTTCCTCCATAATCTTTTAATTTTCATATTTTCGATTATGAATATAATCAGCTTATTTTTATCATAATGCCGACGTCTTGATAAAATGTCAGGATAGTTTTTTTTTCTGAAGAGTAGAATGTAGAATGTAATTAAATGGAAAACACTCATTGAGACATAAAACAAAGAAAGAGTAGTTCAATGAAAGCTATTTGTTTTCTGTGAATTCATTTTCAATGTTGTATCATCACAAATATGGACATTTTTCCCCAAAATGATAATCAGTAATATGTTAATGGCAATACAGAGGCAATCGGCACACAATACACATATGCTGAAAAGGGAGTTATCAATTTTAGTCCTCAACATTGACGAAAAGATTCAAACAGCCATGACAAACGAAATAACATGTTTATTAAAATAGTTTACTGAATATGTTAATAACCAAAAAATAAACAAACGAATACGAGAATTTTTATTCCTATTAAAAGGCTGGGGAGAGGTTGTATCTGTTTGGAATTGAGATATTCATCAAGAATTTTGCAGAAATTAAATAAATCGTCAAAAAGTTTTAGTTGCATATGTTGTCATACTTATCTTGTATCCTGACTCAGTGGTCTAGAAGTTAAGCTTTCTCACTTGATACTGTAGGTCTTGGGTCTGATTCCCAGTTATGAGGTCGTGGATACTAATGTATGAAGAATCCCATACTGTGATGAAATGACTGTTCAGTGCTTTTAGGTTTCCAATGATTATCAAACTTAGGTTGTTTTTGATTTCAATAAAATTCATTAATCTCCCCAACCCCATACTGATATCTCTCTTTGCTGTTTAATTCATTTGGACTAGCAATACATTTCATTTTCTGTGTTAAAATGATGTCCCAGTAAACATGGAAGTATAAATTGTCGAAATCGTTACCGACTGTGGTTAAAGATTTTGGACTAGTTATGAGTAACTTGGGTGTATTTCATAACAATCCAACATTGTAACCGCATCTGATCAGGTGACATTTTGCGAGATGCATTAGTATAATGAATGTTTTTGGGCTTTTGGATAGATCTTTAGAATTCTGTTGTGTGAACTAACAAACTATATGACTGAATGCTCTTATTAAGTAATTGCTGTCTAATAAAATTTTTGTATCATATGAGATAAAGTTGTATGAAGGCTGATGGTATCAGACCATACAATTCCATTATTTCATGATGTCATTGATATCACTCGTGTTGGTTCATGTATTCGCAGTATCCATAATATGTAGTGGGTATTTTTAGATGACATCTCTTCAAATCTGTCATAGTGATGTTGATGTAGTCACTTCATCATTTACTTTAATTCCTGAGTTTCAATAATGCTTTTCATAATTTCTGTTCCTTGATTTCATTGTGTCTTTTCCTAACTATATCCTCCATGTTTAGTATTTTTGTATATTGGTTGTAATTATTATTGATCGGACTTTTTAGATTATCATTTTGTCCAATTTCTCATCTCTCTGCTTATGTTGAAATATGATATTATAGACCAGTGTTCATTTGTTCCAACTTCGATGGTGTTTATAATTGGTTAACTGATTAAGTAGACTTCACATGATCGAGATATAAAGTAATGCCTGAAAACAGGTTTAAACTATTTTTTAATCTTCATAAGGACTAAATAAGATGAATAAATTGTACATTTCCGTTTCATTTAATGTAAATACAGCGTTCATTATCAATCGATCAGTATAACTGATGCCTGACAACTTTGTGATATTATTAACTACTGAGAGTTACAATATAATATAACTGAGCGTCATAGCAGAGTTCGTGAAGGTCCACTATACCATGTTACTTAAAAATGTACCGCTATTCGTTGGCTCATTAGATTAATTCAGCTTGTCACTGAACACAAACTACTAGAGTATTCACAAATCGACTGCTTTTTTTAGTAGTTAAAGTTGTTTGTTGCATTCGTGGATGAAAAAGAAATCACATTAGACATCATAGTACTTACACTTTACATATATATATACCGAAAATAGTAGCATTTCAGGTAACAGATATCATATACATTGTGCAAATATATTTTCACTTGTTAAAAGAAGAGTGGAATGTCATAAAATTTGCAAAAAAAAACCCTACATTCCTTATATCTTAATAAGCATTTGTGATAGTTTAAAAATATCTAGGATTTAGGTTGAATTTTTAACTTGACAAAAACCAATACTTGTGTATTCGTTTCTAAAAAAAACATCATTCTCTAGCTTAATTTACTGTCGGGATTTATGCAACTTCAGTATTATTCTACTGATATTATCATTTATTTAAAGCGCTTACTGGTTATAACATGCGAGATTAAGTCATTAGATTGAATATTTCAACTTTCCATGGGGTTCAGATAACTGGAGAAGCATCGCATATATTTTGTAATATATAAAAAGTTGGCTTTTATTGGGTTTTAGTCTCAGTCAACTGAATTAGTTGTCAGAAAGTCAGTGGTGAATTGGTCACATTGTACACCAAATATAATTAGCTTCACAGAAGAAGTGGAATCAACAAATTTACATCATGATGGTTATATTGAAGAGCTCGTAGAGAAATAATACGAAATGGCAAACAGTTTTTTTGCATTAATAAACTTACACATCTTTAGTTTCTTGGTGATTACATTGTAATATGATAGAACATTATTCAATCGTATTGGAGTATTTACAGTTCCAGTTCCAGTTATCTCGTTTCTGTTGTTATTCAATTCCGGGTAACCATCTTATCAATTACGAGCAAACGTGGACGTTTCCCTTGATAGAAGCTGTATACTGTTAGGATATTTCGATCCAGGATATTCATTGTGGGTTGAAACGTCTTCATAAAGTTTGATAAAAACTTATGATTATCTTCTATATACTCCATCAGGCTATTTCAATAATTCAGTCTATTCCGTTTTTTTAAGTACATGTATTGCGTAATACCTTGTAGTATAACCAGACATCTGTATCATTTGAGAGTCGTCAATCATTTCAGTAAAAGAACTTATTCCTTATGAGTTTTTAGGCACTAGACGTTAGCTAAAAGGACGGCTTAAAACAATGTACTCATTACAGCTATGTATGGATTCAAAACGAATTCTAAATATTTCACATAGATTATATAATTAGTTCAGTTGATAAGTTTCATTATTATCGTTTGATTGATTTTATATCTGTTTCATTGTTTAGAAAGTATAAAGACCTGTTATACATTATGGGCTTAGCAAACCTTGTTACCATATAATGTGAATGAAACCTATATTTATCTGACTATATTGTTGTCTGAATCAGAGTCTGACGTTATATTCAACTTCAGAAGTATAAAGTTAATATATCCGTATGATAAAATGAGTGCTTAATAGTTAAGATATCCAACTTACAAACACTAATTCACAAATCTGAGGTCTGCTTCACCTGTATTTGCATCGGTTATATTCAGTTTATTCATATAATGAATTAAATTGACTATATTCCTTTTTTATTTAACTTTAAATTGGTTCTGTAATTTATATATATAATTCACTTAGCCTTTAGGTTTAGCTGATTCTACACGTATATTAGAAATTGAAAAGTTGAGACAATTAAAACCAGATGAATTGGAAAAACGATATGGCACTATTGTAAATCAAGCTAATATTACCTTTCCTCTACATGAAGCATTGTGGGTTTGTCAAAATCAATTTATCACCAGGTAAGTTTCGTAGATTATTTTTTTGTTGTTAGTAAGGGGTCGTGGAGATTGTTGAATTTCATTAAAATCATCATTAGATCAAAGTAAGACCACGATTGAGAACCTAGAAGCACTGAAAAGTCATTTCATCCTAGTATGGGACTCCTCATCAGTGCGCATCTATATTGTGGTCATACACGTTTTGGATTGTGAAATTAATGAGTAGAATGGTGATCAATGAATGTTATGCAATGATACTCAGTTACAATATGATAGCTATTTACAACATTTAGTTGTTAATAAGTTTTTCCCAAATAGACTTTGTTCAAAGACAAGAAAACTGGTTGCCGGAGTACTTTTCTCTTCCAGTGAAAGTAGCAATATCGGATTTAGAAATAAACAAAACTATATTTTATTGAAGTGTGTGAGTTTTGTACACTAATCACTTTTCAATGTGATTAAAATTCGGCTGTAAAGCTCCATCGTTTTTAACATTACTGCCTATATCTTTATGACTCTGCCGTACTCACTCTACACGTTATTGACTGATGCAGCCTAGTGTTTGTATTAAACATATAATAGACTGTCTATAATCAGTACAAAGGGTCAAATATTGTAACATTGTTGATACATCATTGACCAGTCGGAGTAATTAATTTAATTCTACAGGGATTATTTACCAGTTAAATCATAAAATGGTAACTGCTCTGTATCTACGAGGATTTGAATATTTGAATGATGGAAAATTTATCTGAAGTTTCATTTCTTCTCAATCGATACGACATAAGTCAGTCTAGCTGTACATTTGGCAGTCACTGTTTTTACCACTTAGGTGAAAATATTCAACTCCGCCTGTAGCTCTTCTAGAGTTACTGCCGGAAAACTACTACATCCATCGTCAAGAAGGCACAAGTATTTATAAACAGTTGTCTACGCAAAATACTCAACATCCATTGGCCGGATACTATCAGCAACAGCGTTTTATGGGAGAGGACAAACCAGCTTCCAGCTGAAGAGGAAATTAGGAAAAGACGTCGGAAGTGGATCGGATATACATTAAGGAAATCACCAATGTGCATTACAAGGCAGTCCCTAACTTGGAATCCGGAAGGGAAGTGGAAAAGAGGAAGGCCAAAGAACACATTACGCCGGGAAATAGAAGCATATATGAAAAGGATGAATAACAACTGGAAAGAACTGGAAAGGAATGCTCAGGACAGAGTTGGATGGAGAATGCTGGTGAGCGGCTTATGCTCCTCCACGAGGGATAACAGGCGTAAGTAAGTAAGGTGAAAATATTAGGCTAAAAAAACTATCACAGAAATCTGTTGATACTCAGATGCCACACTAATTTGACATTCTGATTTTGTTTAATAGAACTCCCTACTTATCTGTAAACTGTTTGTTGGAATTCTATTTTTAGCCGTTATCCTCTGGCGAATTCAATCAGCAATTTAAGTTTTAAAATATATTTTGTCAATCTCCACCACATTTCGATTCAATTCTACCTATCATATTACAATATAGTCACTACATTTAGTGATTTGATATCATAATGTGGTTTGTTTGGCAATGCTATGTTTTTGAAATCAAGTTTACGGGAAGCATTCGGCCTAGATTTCTGGCTGTTTGGTGTTCAATAAACTGTATCTGCAATCTTGTAGAAACTGTCAGTCTCCTTTATTCAAAGAAATAAAGTGATTGTCAGTCATTGAGTCAGTGTTATTGCAATTTTATGGTTATTCACCAGTATGCTGGAAGTTTGATCGAGGTTAGGTGTATGGTTATAGATAAAGATGATTAATCAATTGATTATGCTGTTAATCTGTATCGTGTAGAATAACTGGAACACATACCACATACCATGCCTGACTATTGCCTACTTCGAGACCCACTATTGACTGGCCTAAGAATAGGTTGGAAGTTAGGAGTTATCAAAACAAGATATGGCATCAGCCCATGAACTGATTGACTAGTGGCTATTTATTCGTTATTTACCCCTAGATTTTAGCTTCCAATACTATTTCTTCGTATGTTCAGTCTTTCGTCTCATCATCCATAGTACTATTATTTGAACTCCATTTTTGTTCATCTTGTTAATTTCATCTTACTGTATTTATGTATGTTGGGGCAATTAAGTCGATGTTTGTTCGTGCCAATCTCCTACACTGATTAATGCTGACTACCATAACACATTTATTTGATAATATTTACAGCGACCTTTTCAATCCAATTTTATCTTTTTCAGTTCAAAGACGTTTGGTATCAAACACATCTTTTTGTTAACCGATGATCCTGATCCAGTAAATAAAAATGCAAATTTGAAAGTCAGTGTTATATGCCTTTTGAAATTATTTGCTTTATTCAGTCATGGTTATTAAATCGTCAACACTGTTATTTGTCAAATCAGTGTTTATGTTATAAGAAAAATTGGTTTGTAATAAGTGGAGTTTACATTTCACCTGCTTTGTTCATATCTTTTGAATATCGTAATATCGTTTTTAACGATTATTATTTGATATGATATAAAACGTAACATATTCAATATCACCTACATTGACGGTCAATATTGTCTGGTGTAGAAGTGGGTTGAAAGAACTCTAGGAACGGTTAAATCAAGAAATGAGACGTGTTTAATTAAAAATAATTAATAATCTGAACCATGTTGGTAGCTGTAGACTACCTGTTTGGGGTCCGGGTGGTTATCGTAACCAGTTGTTTAAGACTGGTTCAGAATCGTTTGCAAGGGCCCAGATGTATTCACTCATTGTTTTTCTTCAGAATATAAGTCCCGAAATCTACGTATACCTTATTTTTCTATATAACTAATTTTTTCACTACTACTGACACTTTAACAACTCTGGGATTTGTCTTAGGATAATTTTATTTCACTGTCCTAATTTGGTACGGAGGCTCGAACCGATGCACATATATGTTGGGTTCACATATAACACATATAATGAAATAATTGACTGAACGAACTAAGGTTTGTTGATTAATTGAAAGTAAAAAACCATCTTTTTCCGTGGACGTCTTGTTTAAAAGAAATTCTTAAGTGTTTCGTGATATGTGCTGAACTTCGTTTGATCGCTTTATTGCATTACTGATCAATCTTGTTCCACCTATCAGTTGTGATCAAAATTTATGTGATCTTTTAAGTTTATTGTAAAGTTCTGCCAACATGTTAACTAGCTTCTTTAAGACTGGCTATTTGCAAATCTCAGAGCTGCTAACCTAATTATTGGTTTCATCTTATTCAACGTTGTTGAACAGATTGCTAACTGTATAACTCCAATCAAAATTGTAAACCGATTCCTCAAAATGTCTGAGTGTATTCAACTGTGGATAGTTGTTATTTTTCTATTTGTTAATACTTAGAAAATGCTTGTAAATATCAAGTTGTTGGTCATAAAAGTTTCTGGGTCCTTGACACTAATGACAACTGATTTTAGCGTCTATATCAAAGTGCTTTAAGGACTAATGATCATCGTTTTTTATTTACTAAGATCAATTGGAATTTAAGGTTCGTCCTGCATTGTAAACGGTAGTGTTAAAGAATGTTAGTACAAACTGTTTTAAACAGTTGGGTTTTAAAATTTAGACATGGAACTAGTTCAGTGAATTATATCCTTTAAAGATATCCAAAACATTTCATTTCCTCTTGTCCTATGAAACAGTTGAGTAATCCGAAATTCTCGTTTATGTTCAGTATGCATATCATTTTACCTATTGTAATAGACACCCAAATCTCAGCCTTATTTCTAAAATGTGGTTTCTGTTTAGTACGGGTTTCAGTTCTGTGAACTAGTTTCACATACTTCTAGTCAATAATTCAATGCAAGATAGTTACAGGGATATTATTAGGTATTAAAGTTTATCCGGAGGTTGTTATACATCCTTAAATGCTAAGTTGGGTTGATAGAGATTTTATATGACTTTAAATTACCTAACTTCAGTTGGAAAAGCACTGGGAAACAGGGAATGCTGGTTAGCAGCTTCGTCATGGTAGTGGGGACAGACAAGATCAAACTAGCGACATTCTGGAACTTTTAAAATTAAAGTAGTGTTAAGTCACTAAATAGAAACCTCGCGGTCTACATTCTCAAGTTAACCTAATTTTTAGTGTATTCTAGCCGTCATTTGGTATAATTAGAACCTTCAACTCTCGAAATAATTGACTTAGTATGTCGTCATAGCTGAGAATTTCTATCACAAACCGTATTAAAATTTGTCACAAGTGAAGATATATATCTGTTATTTAATTACGGAGCTTTTTGTATTTCAAACGTCGTTTTCATTTTATCACATCACCACGAAAGAGCTGTCCGATACTTCCCTGGTTTTCAATGATATGACAGCCAATATTCATTAGAGCTGAAAACGATCTATTTCCATACTACAAAATATGTGGACACTAAACTTGTCTATTGAATAAATCCAACTAACCTGGAATCGATAATTGTGTATGTTTCGGCAAGTAGCTATATCCATTTTCGAACGTTTAATCTGTATTGACGGGATTAATAGAAACAGTTCGTACACCAATCAGAGTGTTACTTGATAGAATAAAAATATAATTGAAATACGTTTTCATTTGAAGCAGAAAATTTCCAGCATTTTGTTTCAGATCAACTTTATGTTCTTTAAGGGGATTAAGCATTTGCCTTTTCTTAAGAAAATTATTGAGTCTGTTTATAGTTGAAGGGGTTCTGTGAAGTTTGATTCAATTTGTAGATTGTATTCGTCACATTCTGATTTTAGAGTATCATTTGCAATCACGAACCACCCGTTTGACTAGACTATATTCGTCAGCCCATTAACGACTCATTTCACGATGTCCCTGAAGTTTGAATAGAGTTCAGATGTGTCTAGGGTGAAATCATTGTCATCACTGAAAAATTATACGATGTTCGCTTTTTACTGGAAATGGATTAAAGTTGGAAATGTTTCATAATAGACACCGATCCAACTATTCTAATTGTTGAAAGCTTATCGCAAAACTGAAGGTCTTATGGTTCGTTTTCTGGTTGGGTCGTCTGTACAATTTTGAAGTCTTATACTAGGAATTAACAGTTATCCAATGAACTCTGGTTATCAATATAACCGTAACTGAGATTAGTCTGTAACTAACATAATACATGAACTCATTTTTGTTTAAGATAAGCCATTTTCCTTTTCATTGGGTCCTCACTAATTTCTTTTTCTTCATTATTGTTCATTAATTATAGCGTAGAGCAATTGCTAAAATGGCCGATATGAAACAATATGGAATTGAACTTGAAGTTATTCCGATTAAACAACAAAATATAAAATTTGATTATAAATTATTTTATGATGTAAGTACAATAGATGAATGGTCTTCTTTGTACATTTCTTTATGTCTACTATATTCCTTATTATCGTTAACATTTAAAACTAAATTTATATAATCATGCTCATTTCTTAGTATAAATGGATTATTTGATCATCGTTATGAACTACACAATTATTATGAATGTCGTTTAGTATCGGGAGGTAACAAATGGCGTATGAATCAACTGTTGGTCACCGGCTACCATGGGACTGCATCTCCTCATGATGCTCCACTGCCTTGTGGGCCAGATCTTTAGGTCAAATGTTCCGGGTGTGGCCCTCTAATAAAACTACCTGCTTCGTTTTGGGTACCTGGGCAGTGTCACAGCCCTCACACAAATCAAATGAGATTTGTGTGGTGCATATGTATGTGGTGCTTCCTTATATCTCTCCTCATCTTGAGAATCACTTAGCCTCTATTTTATCAAAACTGACAGTTCTCCTGTTACATTTCTTTTATAAATTATTATTCCCTATTACGTAACTTGAATAAACGTGGCTAATTTTTGATGTATGCCAAACCATCCTGTCATCCAATTCTCTAAACTTATTGCAAGACCCTTCCCCTATGTCTTTTTTTTGTTTGAATTCCATCTCTAAATGATTTCAAACTTATTCATGCATAGATACAATTATACTTACTATTTATAAACATTATTATTCTCATTCTTTTCATCATCATCATTACCAATTATTTCATATTGTATCATATTGTACCTTAATGTTACACTTCAATATTTACTTTGTTTAATGACTTAATCACTATTCATCTATTTGATTATATAGACAATAACAATGTATGAAATTCAATGTAAATATGATCATACAACTTATTAAGTAAATGATAACACTGTTGATATAATCGTTTTTCATTTGTTAAACATCTTCATTTTAATGAATGATTGATACAATGGATTTCTTTCATGATTTTATAATTTAGTTGTCAAGTGATAGATTTAGAAAAAAAAAATCTTGGCATATGATTTTTTTCAACTTTCTAGATAATATTCTTTAAAAAAAAACAAAAGAAATCTTTACATTTAACGAGTAATTACACCATATACAATAATATATGTAGTACACTGACGGCCTTGAGTTGACCAATCAGAATTAAGATAGCTGCGCGCTAAATTTAGGGTGCAATGATAGATAAGTTATGTGTTATGATAAACTAAATGAAAATTGACAATAATTGATTCCTAAAATTTGTGGAATTAATAAAAATATCTATTACTCAAGTAGAATGTAAATTTAAGTTAATTCTTAACTTAAATAACAAAAAATACCTATTCCTAAGGTAGATAGTGTGTTGAAGTGGTCAATGTGATTCAATGAATAGTCAAGAGTGTCTAATGGAGCTAGATCGTGATGAAAACCTTAACCCTTTTTTGTAAACCCTAACTCAAAACTTCAGCCTTACTCTTAATACATTATTTAAACTTTTTAAATTATAACCGATATCATGTGCTAATAATAACTCCATAGGGTGTTAACCCTAACTCAGGATACTATCTTGACTTCTAATACGTAAATATGATCTTTTTCGCTTACTACCAGGAATACTTTGGCATGTGAAGGTTAATTACTCTAATCAAAGCTGTTATCCCACTGTTATTTTACTAGTTTTCATTGTTAGTTGTTAACAGGGTATCATTAATAACCTTGTATCATATAAAAACTAGTCTGTTCTAACAAATTAAACAAATCTTAAAATGAAACTATCATATTAATTAATATCAATAGCAAGTCTTAAGAAACTTTTAGTCAATAGTATATATAACCTCCATTCAATCATTAAGCTATAGACTCAGAACTGGTTCAATTTTTTTTATTTTGATTGGATAAATAGTTTCTGTTACCAACGTCTAAGAAAGGTTAAAGAAATTCTTCAAAGCTTAGTTTAGTGTTTCGATTATAATCCGATTTTATAAAGTGTTATGTGCACATGTAGAGTTATGATTATCACATTTACTTACGTGGTTCTCCAATTGTTATTACTTTAAAAGTCAGCCATTACTGTTTCTGTAATTATCGTCGTTAGCATCAAGTCTCCAACAAAATCTAACTTCTTTGAAAACTTTAAAGCCATTTGACTGATAAACATGAAAAAGTAAAAAAAAATCCCGATCTATAAGGTTTTCTTACTAATTGTCTTCAAAAATCTATAACATCTGCTTGGTATAGCATGTAAGTTGTGTCCTAGTCACTCTGTACTATAATGTTTCTATTCTTAAATGAACTTCACACAAATTGTCAAGTCACTAAGGCCAGTAGCCACATTTCAACTTGATCAATAGAACTCAATCGTCCCTAATAAGGATTTGGGATACATAACACTGATTAGGAATCAATCACTTGTAAATGTATCTTGGTTCTACAGGAGGTTAGTCGTTGTCCAGGCATATCATCGGTAACGTCTCTGACTGTGAAGCTGGATGACAGGGGATCAAGTCCTCCAGAGAACATCTGTTATCTCAATATTACAGGTATACCTCACTGACGAGTGTCAAGAAGCACGAAACCTAAATTCAGAGTTTCCTACTGTCCACCCCTGATCACCACCATACAAACTCTATTCCTAAACTTGTTGATTCTCTCATGTTTACTTTTTAAAGTTTTACTTTATCAGATTAATCATTTGATATTCAGCTTTATATTTAATTGTTAAAATCTTGTTTTCATACTTTCTCTGTTATCAAGTAGATTTAATAATAAATTCCAACTTCGTACCTAAATATATTTAGATATAGTTAGTTTTTTTCCATGTATTCTGTCTTTTTCAGGAGTTATTAGAAGATGAATTAATGTATCCTGATGTAGACAAATCTTCTTATCACCCTGATCCAACTGAACGTCTTGATGAATTATTGAGCCGGTAAGTTGATATTTTTATGCTTTCAATGACTGTATTATTGATTTGTCTAGACGTTCTTTCAACAAATGTGTGTCAAACATTAGCTTTCATTGAATAGAGTAATGACTAGCAGATTTCTAATCAAGATCAATGTCTGTTTAGTTCTTTTTTGTATCTAGTGATTGTTTAGTTGGTGATGTCTATTTCAATTTCGAAATAACTATTAGCAATATCAAGTTAATCATTTTAGGATATATATACGGCAATAGAGACTGATCAATTGAGGTCCTCAACATTAACTACGGGAAAATCCAAATGCTTATTAATGTCTTCATAGCTGTCGGGCTATTTTGTGACTATATGGGCATAGTAAATTAGTGGATAACGCGTTGTTACGCATTCTAAATGAAATGTACTGGGTTCGAGCATCAATATGAACATCAATACTAGGATGCAGGTACACCTAACTGATGAGTCGCAAATGCTCATCTTGGACTTCACTTCAAGCCACATACCAAGTATTCTAAGATTTTGGTTGATTATTTATTTGCTTTTCGGGCATTGGTTTAGTTTGGTAAAAGATTTAATCACTTACTTCTGTCAGTTAGAGAACTATTGAAAACCAGCGTATTGTTTAATTGTTCCATTCTACTATTTGATACTCGTTATTGATGAAAAGTCAAAACCGTGAACAAAATCGTTTTTTTTCAAACTTTCGAGTCTAGGTATGAATTGGAATCAAGTGGTTTTATTTCCCGAATTTAGTCATTTCATAATAGAGCACGTTTTCATACTTAGTCTCATCATTGATATCTATCTTGATTCTTAAATTATTAAATTTCAGTATTCATGAATTTCCATATCGAAGTCAGTGACTTCTAAACAAACAATTAACAATGACTGCCTATTTACGTATCAAGTACTATAATCATTTTATTAATTTTTTTCTATTTGTTTATTCTAGTATTAACTCACATGAATTACGTCGATCACGTTTAGCTCGTTTACCTTTTCATCTTGGATCGTCGAAAAATCTTACCTTAGGTATTTCAGTGTATTGTTTAGTTTATCCAACACGTTTACCTTCTCCAATATGGCTTTCATCTTCAGATAATAAAACTGTACGTGTTCATAGAGATTATTATAAAATTATAGATCCATACGGATCTTTTGATCCAGTTAAAGATTTATTACCATCTCATGATTTAGTACGTGGCATTAAACTTGATGGTCGTTATATATGTTTTGATAAAGATGAATTAACTGAAGCTGTACGTAATATTGCTCCTGTCGGTAAGTATTGTTTCATACAGTTTATTATTATTATTTAATTTGTAAACAATTGTCATTATAACCTATTTTAGTATATCAACATAGTACTTATTCACGACTTTACCGAATTAATGAACATACTCAATCTTTCTTCTACAGTATGAACCTCCCCAGTACTCTCGATTTTAGCTATTAAGAAGTTCAAAGAAAGACGACAGAGTCTGGTCTTCAACTGTAAAGAATTTTCTCAAAAAAGTATTACTCTTTATGTATACAGATTCCTTTTAAAGTGATTAATATGTACATTAAAATAATTATAGCTTAAAATAACCAAAAAAACTTTACTGTACAAATGTCACAAGTAATTGAATATATGATAGAAATTATCAGAATATATAAGATATAATAAAATACTTAAATAATTAAGCATTGAAATCTCTATGGCTTGTAGCCTGCCTGCGTGTCCAGTTGATATATAAACTGATAATGCCGCCAATTAGAGAACAATGATTTATCGATCGGACCAGTGATACACGAAACCTGTACGAGTAGTCTAGAGTACTTATCGATCCTGCTATCTGCCTAGCCCAGCTAGTTAAGTCCAGAACACCAATAACAGCCTCTATGGCATGAATCCTCGTATTTCAAACATACTGAGTTTATATACTAATCAAACAGACCACATCGTACCATAAAATAGAAAATAAAAAATATGATAGTTAGCGTGTATTCGTAACTTACTTTATGGTGTTTTTAATGTTGTCGTATGCATCTATGACGGTTGGTATCTAGACTTGTTAGGAATGAAATAGTTGTCACCAATAGCATTCGATAACCGTCGTGTTATTTCGTACGTTTATTGAAGTTGGAAATGTGTACCACTGGGTACCTACTCAATGATTCTACTGGTCAAGTGTTCATTCAAAGATCTAACAGTTCTAGATTCTATCTTTAATTGGATTGTGCGCGTACATTGCTGAGGAGCCTCATAGTAGGACAAAATAACTGTCCGATGCTCTCTGACTTCCAGTGATATGCCTAATAAGATCAATGTGTCACAAATTTAACTTACAAGTATAGTTTTTTTATTAGTTTCAGTCTCCTTTTATACACTTCATATTTGCCAGATATTAAGAACAGACACTGACTTATGTTTGTTGTATTTGTTTACTAATAATATGACCAGTGAAAATTTTGTTATCAATCTTTCTTTCTCAATTTTATTAATTATTTTTGTTCATTCGGACTATTCGGTTGTTATTGTCCAATGGTTTTAGTTATATTCGATAACACCATATGCATATCAGTGGTCGAATATTTCCAGTTTGATTAGGGTTTATTTGATTTAATTAATTTTCTATGCTATAGCTATAAAAAAATATGAATAATAACGGTAGAATCGTTAAAAATGGTAAGTTTATGCAGATTGTTCATTTTGGAGACAGTTTACATCATTAACTTTAGATAACTGTTGTAAACCAAAGACTTCCTGATGTTAGTGATTATGAGAAACTCATTGACACTGCACATCTGCAGCTTAAACACTTATGGGACTTAGAACTTTCAGATATCAAGGGTAGCCCGTTACTTTTAGACTTAAGTTTTGGGTGTAAATTATTTCCAACCTAAATAATTTACATAGGCTTCTAATACTAATAGTGATGATATTATGTTTGAGTTAGTGATTAACTACTGGGATAATTCCATAATTTCTAGAATGAATTCAATGTATTTGGAGTTCAACTATGTTGTGAAACATATATCATCGGTGTTATTGAATGTTAGTTGCTCGATATCATAAATTGACTGAAATTTAGAATATAAACTGTTGGTTGCCAATCCAGTTGTCTAAATGTTAGTTGGCTTGTCACGAGGCTTATAAATTCTGGTTCCGATATCTTTTTAGACCTTATGTATGTGTATCATCTAGGAGAAGTCTTATACTATGACGAAACCTATCCGATTGTCCTTGTTTTACAATAGTTTAACTTATCTAGATCATTTTGTATTGTACATTAGCTTCAAAATCATCTGGTTATTTCCAGTCAGCTACTTTAACACATTGTAAAACCAAATTATTTGATTAATGATTGTTCATAATTTCATTTTTTTGCAAATGTTATTTGGTTTGACCTTAATGTCAACCTCACTACAGTTACGTTTAGGATATCGTTTTGGGTCACTAATGATTTTGCTTCATACGGAATCATTGTAATAATTTGAAAATTCTCTTTAAATCTAATTTCCATTTATTAGTTAGTAATACAATCACATTATTAGGTACACTTCTTACTTCAAACACTTAATTAAACCCATGGAGTGTATATTTATGTATAATTCTGTTTTACGAATCAAAAAGTAACATTGGTGATAGTCATTGTGCATTTAAGTATCTAGATTATGATTCATAGTTTACTAATAGGAGTTAAGTAGAGCGGTGTATTGTGACGGACGGTGTCCGAAATTCAGTACTAATACACTATCTGCTATGCGCTTAGCCAATGAAATGCCCTTGTCCTTCAGGTCACTTCTGATCGCCATCGACTGACCTTCTCATTGGCTTAACATATTAACTTTCCTGCCTGAAAAAGAAGTCTTGCTCCTTGGATTCAACTGAAGGCGTTGAGGAAGACGTCTTTTTCTTGATGATCTTCTTGGGGTCTGGCTATCACTTCTGCGTTGATTTTGTCGTCCCAGACTAACTGTATCAATTAAGTAATCTACTTGCAAGTTCCAGGTAGGGGGTTCTTTATCCGAATTTAGCCTATTGCGGATTTGGTTTACCATATCACTGTGAGTCGGTGGTGGTTAAAGTGTTTGACTTCAATCACTAAGTTACCAGTTCAAATCAGTCTCCACCTATTTCAGTTTAACATACCAGACAGCTTCATTAGCCCTCACACTCAGAGTGCGGCTCACATCCAAGTACACTAGTTCGTACCGTGTAAATGAGTTAATAATGTAAAAAAGGATTATGCATGTAAATTTAATAAAGTTTCACTTTTTGTACAGAACTAGTTGTTGGGTATCAAATGTTTCTTTCATTACTCTTCACCCATTGTCTTCTGAATTTTCGAATGTACTAGGGAGTCAATCCTGTTTTTTTACTCGCTTACCGGAATACTTTCTTGAATCCCCTCTTCTTCAACTGATATTCTCATTGTTCTAATGGGAATGTTGTTCTACTAACATAAATTACTACACTTCTTAGGAACATCTATTCATATTTAATAATGGGTATATATGACGAAAAAGGAAAGAAGATTATTCATTTTGTTTTCATTCAAGTGTCAATTTGTTCTAATTATTCACAAATAAAGGGTAATATTTAATTTTGATTTGATTAAGTTTCAACGTCTTAATTTATGTAAACCGGAAAACGCTCATTCAGACGTAAAAACAAGAAAGTATGTGTGTATGTGAGATAGAGAGGGGTTCAGGGAAAAGTTTTTTCTCAAATATTTATTTTCGGCTGTTTCATTCTGTTTATGACACGTTTGTTAATGACTTGTAGGATACGGTAACAAGAATTCAAAGATACATAGATGTACAAATGTGTATTGCTCTTAATCGTAGATTAGAAATGGAATTGCCAAGATGTTGAAAAATTAATCAGGAATATCTTGGATTTATTTATTTATATAAACACATAAATATTGGTATCGAGGGTCACCGAAATATATATGCACCATATGGACTATTGAATCTGTCTGTGGGCTGGGATGCTGCCCAAGTGCCTAAATCGAAGCAGATAGTTTGACAAGTAGACCACTCCTCGAACCTTTGATCCAGAGGTCTAAACCACAAGGCAATGGAGCACCGTTAGGAGATGAGGTCTCATAGTAGCCTGTCTTCAACGATAGGTCCGTACTCCATTTGTCCACTCAAGATTATGGAACTCACGTGCAACATTGGTTCGGAGTTAGGGTTTTCTAACTTCTCAAGATGGATCCTTCATATCCATCAACTCGGTTAAAGCGCCAGACATTCGCTATTCGTCTTTTCAACTTCGCATACAACACCCCCACCACGAGAAGGCAGTGAGTAGGACTTCTGTGCTAGTGGCTATATAGGCGTGGCCATATGAGAGAATTTGGAGAGCAGACTCTTCCGACCCTCGTGCGTACCAGGACATTTGGAGTCAATGCCATAGAAACTAGATTTAGATTAATAACTAATCATGAAAAAACTTGAAAACAAGAAATAATCATTCTGAGTGGGGGTAAGCGACTGGTCGGATGATATAAAAGGGGTGTTAGGTGGTTGTATGAAGTTGACGAGATAATCCCTATACAGATTTCATGCTTGCTGGGCTTGTTAGCAAGACGTGCCTGGAATCTAGCTGTGACTGGTGTTATCTTTAGGCTTCTAATCCAGTTTCACAGTTCAAGACTTTACTATTGAGCCACTTGGGCCGTGATTGATCTCCTGTAAGGATAAGATGCTGAAAATTGATTTGTTTCTGAGATGTCAACAATGTTAAGTTGTCTAGTCTCTTAACGATGATATTTTATTTAAACACAAGTATTGGTACAAGGAAGCACCAGATATATATGCGCCATACAAATCTCATTCGATTTGCTTGAGGGCTGTAATATTGACCAGGTGCCCAAACTGAACCAGGTGGTTTTCTTAGGGGGCCACACCCCGAGCCTTTGACCGAGACATCTGATCCACAAGGCGGTGGAGCATCGTGAGGAGATGCAGTCCAATGGTAGCCGGTGATCAACAATTGATTCGTACGCCATTTGTTTCCTCAGGATACTGGAGCCCATGTGCACCATTGGTTTGGAATCAGGGTTTTCCAACTCCCCTAGGTGGACCCTCCATGTCCACCAACCCGGTTAAAGCGCCGGACATTCGCTTTTCGTCCTCTCGATTTCGTAAACAACACCGGTGTCACGAGAAGGCAGTGAGTCGGACTTCCCTGGCAGAGGCTATATATTTGCTGGCCATGTGAGAGCATTTCGAGAGGGAGAGCGTACTCTCGGCCGTACCAGGACATTTGGGGGCTAAGTCTAGTGTCAGGAGTGGGAGAGAGAAGTTCCCATGTTTTAACTTGACGATTGATAGAATTCTTCAAACAATAAATGACCAGACAAACATGAAAATGGTTACTACTTGGTAGTGCATGAAAATTATTCATTTCGAACATAATTGTGAAACGAGTTCAAGACGTTTCGTTTGTAATCACTTTTTAATGATAATGAAGCCTCCAGGAATGTTTAGTTGACGGAACAGCAATAATCAGTGCTTCATTATTCATAATTTAAAACGATATTGATGATTTTCACATTGTTCTGCCAATTGAAGGAATAAAATAATACATTATAGGAATGTTCACTGTATTTTTCATTCATGGTGACATATTCATTTGTCAAGTCTTTCTTGGTGCTCGTTGAATTCTATCTGTAATTCTAATTTGTAATGTCTTCACTAGTCTAAGTAATTCTACATCTCATGCGCAATTATTAGTGATTTAAGGTGGTGGTTAGAGCTAGTCGACAGGAAACTTTAAACTTATTTTATGAGCTGTTTAACACTCGTCAGCAAGGCTGTACTTTAGAATGAAAGATCGAAAATGGATTTTCTACAAATTTTTCTAATTGTGATAGATTACTTGTTTTGAAAACTGTATTCTTTTAAACTGCCATAATTTTTGCCAGCGACCACCTTTGTGTGGTGGAAATGAAGTATCCAGCTATTTCTATAAGAAAAACACAATTTATAGACTATACATGATGAATATCTACATAATTCGTATTTGCTAGTATTCTAATATCTATCCTGATACACAACACTTAATGAAAACGAACGTGAAATAAAATGGAGTTAACATTATGTGTGTTCCTGATGTCCTTGCTTCATGTCAAAGCCGAATCCTGCAAGCATACGAAAAGTTTTATGGGATTCTATAGATAATTTCAAAAGCTGATTTGAAATTGACATAGAGACAGGTATCAACCCGAACGTCCTATAGTGAAATTTTTTATTGTTAGTTTTTGTCATTTTTGGTCAACCATGAGTAGTGATATTCAGAAATCCGATAATGTATTAGTCTAGTTGTTTGATCAGTATAACTACCCCCGCAACAGCATTTGAAATGTTATCAGAAGGGGAGGGGGTTCGTGGAGGTTTTTAGTAATTCTATATATTTGAGATCATGAGTCAATTGAAGCTAGACCACCATGGAAAACCTGGAAGGCCATTTCGTCCGATTGTGGGACTCCTCAGCAGTGCGAATCCACGATACCGCCCCGCGAGATTCGAACCCAGAACCTATCAGTCTCGCGGTAGAGCACTTAACCGATTGACCAATGAGCTGGCCGGCATTCAACGGTGTCGGTGTTTAACTTCGAATCTCGCGAGGCGGGATCGTGGATGCGCACTGCTGAGGAGTCTCACAATAGGACGAAATGGCCTTCCAGGTTTTCCATGGTGGTCTAGCTTCAATTGACTCATGATCTCAACTATATAAAGTTGAAATGGTAGTTGCACATAGAGGCATTGGAACTAGGCAATTTATCTTTATTTTGTGAGCTCACCATTAAACGGTTAAAGAAAAATGAGCATAATCTTGCTGCATTAAATGTATGTTTTACGTCTTTTCTTATACATTGAATTACTCTTTTGATGGCATTATCACCTTGGAAATGCAGTTTTACGAATAAAGCTTTTTTCGGTACCGTTGGTAATTTTAATTCAAATTTAGTTTTAGAATTATTTTTCTTCAAAAGTTTTGATAGGTATCCGTATTCACTTAATAAATCACAAATAAGTCTTAATTCCTCTTCAAAATTGTCGTTAGAACAAATAATCTTGGCTCTATGGGTAAAGCTATTGACTAAGTTTCTCTAATTAGACTAATGACCTTTTTGTGACTACTAACAACCGACCACACATAACGACTGAATACCCTGATTCTTTTTGATTAAACTCAGTTCCTTTCACCCTCATATAACTAGTCAGAAGTCTAAGACAACAAGTCTATATCCTTACCATAAATACGACTTTGAAAACTGATAGGATTATGTACATCGATTACACGATCTTAACCCACTACAAGTAAAAAAATGAAAGTTTTTTTTACATAACTTGGAGTCATACATGATACAAAACCTGGACAGTGTGTGCATAATTAATTAACGATAAGACATGTATCAGCAATTAAATACGTTAATTAAAAGCTTGTAATTAGGACAATATATAAATCTCATAAAACAGTTACTTAATAATTATATAATACAAAGTAGAAATATTAGTTTCTATCCTAAAAGCTATAGGTTTCGTGCTAGTTGGCACCCATCAACAAGCTGCACTTTTAATCTTGTAGAAAAATGGTGACCATTATGAGATTAGAAGTCGAATAATTCAGTTTCATAATTCAGTTGCCTAAAGTGCAATTGATGAAGTCCGATTTCAATCAATTAACCCAGTGATTATGAATGTCTAGTGCCTTTTTTTAACTATCAAATCATTGTTCTAACAAAATAGGTTTCAACTATAAATAATTTTCTTCCTATTCATCTCGTATTTTTTATTTATTTTAGGTTTACACCTATTAGGTTTCGTATCACAGAAATTTTTAAAACGATATTATTACATTCGTCCAGCACATTTTATTTATCCTGATGAAAAATCAATTCATGGAAGTCGTTTATGGTTTACCGCTTTATTAAATCGATGTTTACATCGAAAGTTATTAGCCATAGCTATATATGTTCAACGTAAAGGTCAATTTCCTCGTCTTGTTGCATTACTTCCTCAGGTATTCCATCCGTTTTTGATTTATAATGGTGTTTATCTTCTTGTTCCAAAGAAATGTAAAGTTTATTGTATACCTATACTACAATCATTTGGTAAGTAAGGAGTCTGTGGAGACTGTCGTCATAATAAACTAATTTCAACTGAAGAGGTATTGACAACTGGAAAGTATTAGTCAGTTATTTTTTCTGCTTTTTTTGAATTCCCCCGAAGTATAGGCCCAATACTTCACATGACAATCAATATGATGCATTAAGAATGTTACTTGGTTGTCACTTTCATGCACCGTTTGTTAGGCTATATGAAATCAGAACCCAAACTCGGAGCATTAAAAGGATTTATGGTGTCACATACATTAGTAGCTACTCGGGATTCAAACAGGAAGAAAGTTAATTATTCATATAACTGAATGATAAGCAAACAATAATATATTTATAATGTTAGTATTAAATATTTAAATATATTAATCTTAGGGGATTTGTCAAGTTTATAGAATTTTCATAGTTTAAATCACAGACTGAACTTAGTTAGACCACCATTAGGAACCTGGAAGCACTGGACAGCTGTTTCATCCTCGTGTAGTATTCCTCAGTAGTGCACATTCAGGGCTCTGCATCCATAAATTGAGTCAAGGACCTTCGGCCTCACATTCAAGCTGAGATCAGCTCGTCATTTAAACTGTTTAAATATATGCTAAGAAAGAATATCGACGTTGTTCATTTTTTCTCTGAACCAGTGTTACATAAATTGTAAAACTTTAGGTTATATATGAAAAGGTTTTTACTAATTCTCCAATTAATTGCATTTTCAGCCTATTTTCTATCATTTTAAATGAGTTCTATCCAATGGTAGGTCTTTCTTGATCAAAAAAACAAAGTAGTTTATATTCTTAGTTCAAAGAAACTTTATTTAAATTATCAGCTTTTTGTTTCAATATTGAAATATAGATGTAGCAATGTAATCTTTGTTTATGATTAAGTGTTCTATGCTCAATGTCATACATGTCGAATGCTTTAGTGGCAGTCGAATTCTAATAACCAATAAGTCACGAGGTCTAAAGGGTTTGACGTCTCAGTCAAACAGATTAACATCATGAATGCGCCAAAGATAGCACAGGTTGACATAAGCCTTTCTGGCTTCCCCTATACGTGAATTGATCTCATCACTCACGTTACCACCATGAGCTACACAACTACCTAGGTATACGAACTTCCTAACTACTTCTATCTACTCACTACCAAGGGTCAGTGCCAACGCAGGGTCCTACCAGTCTTGTGAAAGTACTTTGCGCTTAGAAAATGCAAAGCATATACCATGCTTACGGATACTTCATATGAAACTCCTAATTAACTTACATGGACCGAAGAACTACTGGTCATTCTGAAAATATTATATGTTAAGTTTAGCGACACGGACGAGACTCTTAAACCCAAGTTAATAGTAGTAAGTAGGATTCGAGCTTGCGACCTCGTTTAATAATCTAATATAGTGGTATACCTAATTCATAATAAGATGTGTATATTATTCCTCTTTACAATTATTTTTTATGATTATATGACAAAATACATTTACCAAACGTTTTTTATTCATAAAATATGTGTGATCATTCGGGTTTCAGATTCATTAAAACTACTTTGGTTATCTATTTCTTTATTTGAATACATAAACATTAGTACAAGGGGCACCAAATATCTACTTCCATTTTTAAAATCATCAATCAAAGGTAGAATTATGAACTATTGTATCTCGTCTAAGTGATTTGAAGGTGTCAAGTTTTAAGTTTCTGGTTCTGTACCCATTTAAGAGAAGGGGCATTTTCATTAGGCACTGTTGATGATTTCCCCAACAACCATTTAGTGCTTTTTGGATGTCACTTTCTCTCTATGATAAATTTCATACATTATATTCAGCTGACATACTGAATGATTTCTATCTATTTCACTTACCTAGGCAGAGCAGACAAATGATGATGACGGTGCTGATAGAACTCAAACAATACCACCCGGATTTCATATTATATTTTTACCTTACGCTGATGATTTTCGTGATATTGAAATCCCAACAAATGAAATAGGTATGATTATTATCATTATCATTTTTTTTAAGTATAAAATCTTAAATTCGATTCATTTTACATAACTGATTATTTAATGATAAATAATGCAATTCACTAAGTCAATTTCAGACTTATGTACTAATCATAGAAAAATGGCTTTCAACCCGTACGTCTCAGGTCTGTTTACATCCATTTTGTAGTACTGCTTTAGTGGCATTTTTTCAGGGAAACATTTCCACGACTGTGTTATTTGATTGAATCTAAAAAGTTCTCTGAGGAATAACGGTCGATAGAATATGAGCATTGAAAAAGAACTATATTTTAATTCGAAGAAAAATGTACCAAGGTACATCCTTTTATAATAATTTATCTGGATTAAAATTTTATGTTCAATCGACAGCTAAATTGGGTGGATCCAAGCATTATCTTTATTGACAAACCCATCACTGAGGGAGGGATCAATACTTTGGTTAAAAGAATATGTTTATCAGTTGCGCAATATGTGAAGTAAAGTAGTCAAGCATCCAAATATCTAAAGGTGTTAATCGACATCAAATTGATCGAATACACTGATTATTATCCCTATAATGTCATATATAAGTTGAAAATTGTTTATAAGCTAAAGTATTTACTTGACCGACAAACCGCAAGAACTATTGGTGAAGTTTTGAAAGTATTTCATATTTCCAAGTGGTTAAAAGGTTAGCATTTGAATAATTGGCGAATCTACTGCTTCAACAGTTGTTGTCGAATTCTACAGACTACTTACACACTTGAACTTGCGCAGTAGAGAAAAAGCGCGAAACAAGAATAAGAGCTTTACTTCGAAATTGATCTATGTACAGAAAATCGAGTGGATTTACCGAGTTCTCCTAGAAACCTCTGGAAGCATACTGAATATAGTAGTAATATAAGCGATTATTCAATAAAAATATAACACATTATGCCTCATTTTCATAGATGTTTTTTTGGGGGCTTCTAGTTAAAGCTGATTGGACAGGCTTTTTCTGAGATTCTAGAAATTTTATCAAGGGATATTAGTGCATTTCTAACAATAATCTGGGATAGTAATAAATTTGAGATCAACTTCTTTGTCTTGTACGAATTTCAAAATTTGTATGATTGTGTAAGTGCCTGATAGGAAATCTTGATCACAAATTTCTGACCAGTTGCAGTCCTAACAAATCGATGGGAAGATTCAAACAAATAATACTAAGTTGAACAAATTTCTTCTGTTTAAACAGAACACAAGGAATTTTAACAATGTTTTAAATGTCTATTTTATTTAATTATATTCATTGATCTATGAAGACCATTAACTGTTGAGCTGACCCATGTCAATAGGCTCAGACTACATGTTTGGTGTCCGGTGACTATTGTAATAAAGTAGTTGGAAGTATTTGGTGACAGGATCAGTTGGAATAATGCAGATGGATTTGCTCGTCGTCTTCCTCTAGGTCTTTAGTATGAAAATCATCTTATACTTTCTATCCTTAAAATTCATTTATTCTTCTCGATTCATAATTTCATATCTAATGTTTTCTATTACGACTGATATTGTTGACAGTTTTCCTACTCTGGGATTTTCCTTAATAATTTAATTTGTTTTTCTTAATCTTTTGTGGAAAGGTGAACCAATGCATATATGTGCCACGCTCTACATTGATTATAATTGAATAACTTATTATGTGCAAGATTGATGCAAGCGGTTTATTAATTCAATTCAGCAAACGTCATGCTCACGACATTTTTTAATTTTTTTTTAGCTAATGAATCTCAAGTGGATATTGCTAAGGCCATGATACGTAAACTTATGGTATCATTTACTCCTGGACAAATTGAAAATCCAACATTACAACGATTTTATTCACTTCTTGAAGCATTAGCTCTTAATCGTGAAACTCAATCGGAAGTTGTTGACCATACATGTAGGTCATTGCAAGTTTTTATAGTTTTGCTTTGTTCAACACTAACAGCCGTTATGACTACACAAGTATGACATTCCTCACCACTCAGTGGTCAATATCGTATTTATACGGGAGGTCTGTTGAGGCCGGAACAGCTCAGACAATGAAACTGAGTAGTTCACGTTTGCATTCTGTTCAAAATACCAGTTTCCACAAGATTTCAGGTACACCTTGCTGAGGAGTATCAACTGTTATGAAATGTGGATCCATAGTTTTATGGAGATTACCTCCAACCACCCAACATTAATTAATAGTATATCTTGTAAATAATTCGTATATCAGTCTTTAATATTGCTATGATGGACTTATTAAATCAATAAAATATTTAGCGTGGCTGACGACATTCCTGTAATAATTATGGTGGCGAAGAGCGGTTATTCACTGACAGGACCGATCCTTTGGATAACAACCGGGAAGATTCCAGGAGTCAAAATCATTGGCTAAATGAACAGAAAGAATATATATATATATATATGCCACGCTCTCCATCAAAATGTCCAGTTCTCGGGCGTGCTGACTTCTATAGCAATATCGACTTACCGAGTCATCTAAATTCGATGTCCATCCAGCAGCCACACGTACCACTACTCCTCTTCCAGGATAGCAACTGCTACAGCCAACGCCGCCCCATCAGAACACCCCAGTCAGCGTCACCTCGCACTAGACTTCACCAACTAAAGCCTTCTCTTCCGGCGTCTTCATAACTGTACTCTCCCCGGTTCCTCTTTGGAAGCGACACAAAATGTTAAAGAACCATTGAAAACCTGGGAGTATTGAAATTTTGTGTTGTTGTTGTGCATATACATGATCCTAGCACCAGAAATTAAATTTAGGACTTGTGATCCCGCGCGCAAACTCTCAACTTCTAGATCACTGAACTGTGTTCCAACGGTTTGGATATCTCAATCCCGTCAATTTCATGGAAATCATGAACGGACCATTGTTAGACCATTATTGAAAACCTGAATGTTCTGGACAGCCTTTTCGTCCTAGTATGGGACTGTAGTGGCTGTTATTGTGTCAAGCCCACACATTAGTCCAGCTTCTGGACAGACCAATTTATTCATTCTTCTCAAGCCACATTTTGACCTTGTTGATTATTTGCTTATTAACCATGACTGTTTTTATATGATCGTTCGTGTGTTAATTGCTTACCCTATTCATCACGTATTTGTAACTTATTTTTCCCTGACTATAAATATCGGGTCATGTTTAGTTAAATCGAGTTGGCTCATTCGCCTTCTCCATTCCACGTCGCTTCGTTTTGTTTCTCTTTCCTCATTTCGTTTCTCTCATCGTCTGTCTGGATGAATGAGTGTATGAAATATGCGTATTCAAAATTCATTCTCATATTTGGCTTATTTTATTCCGTTATTCTCTAACGCAAATTGAGTCGACAAAAATTCACAAAAGTTGGCGCCATGTATATTCCGATAACAGTTGCCATGTGATTTAACTGGAGTCAGATATAGAGTCACTAAAGGACTCCCCGGCAGTGTGCATACACTACCCTACACACGGGGAATCTAGCCTAAGATCTTCGGTCTTGCGCAATAACGCTTAACTTGTAGAACACTACGGTGTTAGTGTCTAACTTTAGTCAAGCGAAATGGACGTCCAGTGCGTACAGGTTCACAGTGATGATCTACCATTGATCGGTTCATGATTTCATTGAAACTCAACAATCTCCACAAACTCGTACTGTTGGTTTACTCAATTTATAGCATCAAATAATCATTTTCCAATATACTTGATGGGTAACTGACTCACGCTCGACACGATGGAGCATCACTGGGTATAGCTTCTCAGTAGAATTTCAGAATTATTTCTCAAAATGCGTCACTGGTTAACGCATAATTATTTACTGGGAGGGGGGGTAATAATATTACAAATTTATGGAATTTGGACATATAAACTGTTAGATACTACTTCAATTGTCTGAAGGTTAAGAGCGGAGGTCCTAGATTCAATTCCTGTTGGTGCTTTTAATGGATCTACATTACTGGAGAGTCTTATGCAAGAACAAAACAACTTCTAAATACTCAATTTTTAAAGCAATTAGTCCCTTTTATAAATTTTGATAGAACAATGAGAAAGAGTTGTTATGAAAAATGTGATGTATTTGCGTTATACATACCGAAGAATTTGGTCATACATATATAAATTTTAGTATTTATCATAGTTGAAAGCGTGAGTCAATTGAAGCTAGACTACCATGGAAAATCTGGAAACACTGAACGGCCGTTTCGTCCTATTATGGGACTCCTCAGCAGTGCGCTCAACTTCGTGGATCAGTTGAAGTTAGACATTAACACCATTGGATGCCAGCTCAGTGGTCTATCGGTTAAAGGCTTCGGCTCGAGACTAGTAGGTCCTGGGTTCGAATCTCGCTCGCAAGGCGTTTTCGTGGATGCGCACTGCTAAGGAGTCCCATAATAGGACGAAACGGCCGTCCAGTGTTCCCAGGTTTTCGATGGTGGTCTAGCTTCAATTGACTCACGCTTTCAACTATGATACATACATATATACTCAGTTTTCAATGGTTATTTGACTGATATCATTCTATGATGTTAACTATGAAAAACAGAAATTTCGATAAATCACTTTAATTGTACGTTTACTCATTTTTTTCTGTTTTCTTAAATCAATTTTGACATTTTGATGTTGCTTCATTATTATTTCGTTTTGGTGATGAAAACATTAAAATACCATTTTTTGTTGAAAAAAATAATCATTTTAGTACCTAAACTTGGAGCTTTCAAAAGAAGAGCCGGTGAAGAACTTACAGCATTCAAAGAATGTTTCAATTTAAATAGCGAGAATATATTCAAAGTGAGTAAAGAAAGGTTTTAAAAATAAACTATATTTGGCATTCAGTGGTGTTGTATTTGTGAGTCAATAAGATTTAAAATCGATCAAAGTTGGAAATATATATCACTTCAATATTAATAAGTCTAGTGATTTTAAGTATCAAGAGTTTTCCACGAAACCTGAATGTCCTAGATTCGATTTATGTGTGGAGTCGTGAATAGGTTACTGATGAAAATAATTCCATGCTAGGACGAAACAACTGTCCAGTGCTCCCTGATTTTAAGTGATGCTTTAAATGAAAGCAATTCATTTAAAATAATAAGCCCTTAATTTAACTTTAGTTTGTTATATCTTTTGGGTGATAAGACCGCCAATAAGAGAGCAGTGAATTTATCGATCGCCCAATAATACACAAAACTGTATCAGCAGTCTTGAGTACTCGTCAGTCCTGCTTTCTGCCTAGCCCAGCCAGTTAAGTCCAGAACACCAATAACAGCTTCTGCAATGTGAATCATTATTCACAAACATACTGGGTTTATATTCATTTAGTATTGTTTGTTTGAATCTTCCCATCGATGTGTTAGGACTGCAACTGGTCAGTCTCTAATTGGCATATGTGCGTACTGTGCGTATTGCCTCGACATAGCCTTAATTCACAAGCATGGTAAGCAATGATGGATAGTGGCTAGCAGTGGAATCTAGGACGCGCATTTCGTCCTATTTGGAACTCGTCAGCTGGACGTACCTGCATCTCAGAGTTGATGTTTTCCCTGGGACTCGGACCCAGTACCCTCGCTTCAAACGCCATCGCGTTATCCACTCGGCCACTGAGTCCTGATAGCCACTGGGTTTATATACCAATCAAACAGACCACATCGTACCATAAAATAGAAAATAACATTTGTACAAAATTTGGCCAAATGTGGCTGTGAATAGCGGGAACAGTAATCAATAGACTTTGGATAACTAAAGAATGGCAAATCGTATTATGATAGTCTATGGGTCAAAATAAAGCTCATAATAAAAGGGACACGAATATGAATAGCTTAGTTACTTAACAACTGTAAAATAGGAAATATACATATCATATTGGTCCATAGATAGTTCTCAACGTTACCATTCATAATTCTCCACGGGATACAACAAGTTTCATTAATTTTGAAACACTGACTTAGTATTGGTTAAAGGACTCAAATTTCCAATTACTGGATTGCAACATGCGCTTACTTACACACTTGTTACTCATAAGGAGTAGACCGCCGACCAGGCAGGTAGGCGTAAACAGCGAATAATATCACTAGTTGAATGTAAAAGTGTAGCTTGAAAGCTGTGTACATGACTGAGTGTTACATTGATTATATTATTTTAGAAACACAACTTTTGGTTAGTCAGTCAACGTGGAGGTATATAGGTTTGAGTCCTGTCCTACACGTGTAGACGATTTGTTCGTTAATTTAAAATACCGAGTTAATTAGATGAATTCATAAGATCTCATTTATTGTTAATCTATTGATAAACATTAGTTTGTGAAGAAGATCAAATTCATTCTTGAATATTAACTAGTGTTAGGATAATATAAATGTGCTATAAACCAAGGAACATTGTTTAGCTGTTTTGTTTTAATGTCGGACTCCATAACAGTACACACTTATAACTCTCCATTGGTTAAATGCAAAACTTTCAGGTTTAACGGTGAACATATAACCATTGGAATCACTGATTTGGCATCTAATGGTATAATTTCAATGTTAATCATTTTGCTGTAATTCACAATATAGAGTTTTTGCAAATGAGCTAATTGACTATAACTATCAAATTAAGTATTTATTGTAGCAATTATGTTTCTGTGAAAGATATTTACAGTTTATCAATTGTTTAATGCATAGCACTGTTTATGTACACCGTAATAAAAGTATTTTAATTTATATCTGGACTATTCAGATTTCTTTACGGGGTAATAGTTGGTAACCAGTTTCGGCATTACGCTATACTTCATTTGATGATTTTATATTATTTAAGGCCATCACTATTAAGATGTATGTGTTCCTAAGATTGTATGTTGCTGTTTTCGGTCTTCAAACCACCATTTATGTATGTATCGTGGAGAAGTGATCCAATAACAGTCTATTAACATTCTTAGTCACGTATTTAAACCCGTTTCCGCCTTCTTATTTTTCAGAAACCAAGACAATATCTCTTATTCTCGCATGGTAAATTTAACTGAAAGCCGATTGTCTCTAGATGAACTTGCTTACTAAATGGCATTAACTTTATAGTTACTTGTTATTAATAACATCCATTGTATTTATTTTCCTCTCTCTTATAAACACAGAAACCTCGTCCTACACAATCCACTTATAATCAAGAAACAAAATGTTGTTTATCTGAAACAGAATGTAAAGAAGCTGTTCAATCAGGTAATCTACATAAATATACAATACCTGTATTACGTGAAACAATCAAATCACTTGGTCTCAAAATTTCAGCTAGTAAAAAATCAGATATTATTGAAAAAATTATGAACCATTTTAAAGAAAACTAAAAAAATTTTTGGATTGCCAGTTTGCCAGCCTTCTGCCTTGTGTTCCCCTTTCGTTTTCTCTAAAGTGAGTATACTTGAAGTTGAGTGAAGAGAATATCAGTAATGCAGCTATATAGACAATAACATTGAAATGTTTCTCAGTGATTCTTTTCCTTCGAATAACCTTATTGTTGTTTATTTAAAAGGCTTTGTCCATGATATTTTTTTATTTTGATAATGTCAAAAAACAACAAACAAACAAACAAATTTCAACATTGAACATCATTTAAAATAAGCATTGAGCATTGGACACAATTTATTACTTTTATTGTTTCATAATTTCAACAACAACAAAAACTGACCTAGAACAGTAATTCAGTTTTGCTGAGACGAATAGTTTGATACTTACTTACTGATTACTTACGCCTGTTACCCCTCGTGGAGGAGCTTGGGGCCGCCACCAAAGTAGTTTGATAGGATGAATAAGAAAAGTCTTATGATTTTGTATAAGAGATTAATGTTTTTTTGCGTCTAGCTAGTCACGCACAATTCACATACTGAACATTTTAATTTATTATGATAAACAATAATAGATTTATAAAAAGACTTACTTCTATTGAATTGTTTACTATATCTACTTAAAGTTTATTCGATCGGTACTTGATAAGAGTTTTTTGTTTATTTATTTTATTTAAACACATAAATATTGGTACAAAGGGGCACCAGATATATATGCGCCACACAAATCTCTTTTTGATTTGTGTGAGGGCTGTGGTACTGTCCGGGTGCCCAAACTGAAGCAGGTGTGTTTATTAGGGGAGCACACCCGGAGCCTTTGACCTAAAGGTCTGATCCACAAGGCAGTGGAGCATCGTGAGAAGATGCAGTCCCATGGTAGCCAGTGACCAACGATTGATTCAAATGCCATTCGTTCCTTCAGGATACTGGAGCCCATATGCACCATTGGTTTGGAATCAGGGTTTTCCAACTCCCCTAGGTGGATTTTCCGTGTCCATCAACCCGGTTAATGCGCCGGACATTCGCCTTTCGTTCTATTAATTTCCTAAACAACATCTCCGCCACGAGAAGGCAGTGAGTAGGACTTCCGTGGCAGAGACTATATACGCATGGCCATGTGAGAACATTTGGAGAGCGAGAGCGGACTCTGCTCACTCTCGGCCGTACCAGGGCATTTGAGGGTCTACTGGTCCAAGCATTCGGGTTTTGTTTAATTATACAATCGAACCTAGTTGTATCGGAATCATTTTAGTTAAGCAACAGTATCGTCTTCAACACTATGTGTATAAATCAGTATAATGTTACTAAATAATAAGGTTAAATTATACTATTCGGTTGTTCAAACCGAATCAAATACAATGGAGTTCAAACTGGTGGCTTAGTGCTTGAAATTTGAACGCCTAAACCACTACTAAACCATCAATCAAATTATATCACTATTTATTATTGTCATTAAAGATCATTGTAATGAATAAACTAATTGAATACTTAATCAATGTCGCCGATTTTAAATAGTATATCTTTTAGAGAATGAATAATTAATTTCCAATTATGAAGTAGGTTCTCTGTTACTAACCTATACATTTTTAATAATCACTGAGTTACTTAAATGGTAAATGATTCATTGGTATTTCATTGTTTTAATTGTACTAAGATTTAATTGAATAATCTTTTTTTTAATGTTAAAATAAACCATATAAAATACTGACGAAAAGCCTATAGTAACTAATCATAATCTAATTATTATGCATACAACCATGGTTACAATGAACAATGTAGAAAAAAAAATTGGAAAGTGAAATACCATCCTCCTCGTTCTATGAACATTAAGTCAAAAGTTTTATTTTAGAAATCATCAATTTACATTAAATGAATACTCACTGCATATTAATTAATATCATATTGTAAGCAAAGATGGATAGTGGCTAGCAGTGGAATCCAGGACGCGCGTTCCGTCCTACTTGGGACTCGTCAGCTGGATGTACCTGTGAATTAAGGCTATATCGATGCAATACGCCAATTAGAGACTGACCAATTGCAGTCCTAAACTTCAATAGGAAGATTCAAACAAACAATACTAAGTGAATTTAATATTATATTGATTTAATCTTTAATCATCAACAAAACGGATGGAACTACTACAGGAGATAGTTATCGCGACTTAAACACTTTAATATAAATGAAATGGATTTAAATCCCACAAGAAATATCAGTTACCCGCAACTAGAACAAAACCTCAGTTCAGGTTATCCTATCCAGTACGTATAATCAATCCCACCGATATACACTATTCAAAGTATAGTCAATCCGCAGATATAGTCAATATTGAGGTATCCGCTTAAGAATACATATCAGTTAGTAGAAATTGATCGATCCAAGCACGTGACTTTAAATATCACAAGCATAGAAAAGTATAAACGTCCACAATTAGCAATAGAGTTTGTAAAACGGTCAAGTATTGACTGTGCGTAAAATAGACATGTATATGAAAAATAAACAAAATGAAGACTACGCAACCCAATCACCATCTACAAGACAAGTTTGAAGAAACGGAGAAGTAGAGATGAATTATTTTTTACAACTAACTGGTTACTGAATATAGACTTATGTTATATTTGTAGGTATCATTACCAAGACTTGATTTGATAATTTTGAATAAATTGAGCATTGGGTAGATTGTTATAAATTACCTAGGGGAGTTGGAAAACCCTGATTCCAAACCAATGGTGCATATGGGCTCCAGTATCCTGAAGGAACAAATGGCGTATGAACCAAGTGTTGGTCACCGATTACCATGGGACTGCATATCCTTACAATGCTCCACTACCTTGTGGATCAGACCTTTAGGTCAAAGGCTCCGGGTGTGGCCCCCTAATAAATCCACCTGCTTCAGTTTGGGCACCCGGACAGTACCACAGCCCTCACACAAATCAAATGAGATTTGTGTGGTGCATATATATCTGGTTCCCCTTTGTACCAATATTTATGTTTAAATAAATAAATAAAATAAAAATCTGACAGATGATTTCTTTCTATGACCGTTTAAACATTTATTCGAATTTTACTCATTTCGTTACTGTCATTAGAAACCGTTATCATCAATTCATTGTGGTGACACAATACAGAAGAAAATATTAAACCACATACGATTTCATCACTTATCTATGAGGAACATACTTCGTTTTTCATTATCTTCACTTTACATTCATCTCAAGCTGCATATCAATGGGAGTTACATGTAATAAAATCTATTACAGTGATAATGATCATCAAATATATGAATGCTCTTTACAACTAATCGTCAATTGAGTTGTGATCAATCTTTTGTTTTTCAAGTCTTATAGTGTGAGTGAATTCTATTAATCAAGTTGCAAGGATATCATAAAATGATATTGATACTACTCAGTGACTAATCATTTGTGAATGCATGTCAGTCTTATAAGAGATCAATCGCTGCTCTGGTAACGTCTCAGATTGTAAAGCTGGATAGTACAGGTTTGAATCCTTCAAAAAGCATTGGTTTCCTCAATATTATAGGTAAATTTTACTAATGAGTGCTAAACATAGCTAAACTTTTATTTAGGGTTTCATGTCAGTTACCTCCAGAAACCTGACAAATGAGTATTCTCACTGGATTATTTTATGTTCATTAACCAAAGACTATAATTTGTATCAACTTAAAGTTTCCATGAGCACTAACAAATGAAATTGTTAGGCTAAATCTAAGAATAGTATAGTTAGCAACGGTATGAGTGCTGATAGGAAATATTAGGCATCGAAGATACGATTCTAGAAAATATGAACCAGTGAAATTATGAGGAATTCAGAAGCTTAGAATTCGGAGGATGACAAATAATGGATGCACTTGAGTCAAAGCAAACCATTTTAAGCCATCTCATACAAAATCTTCAACCACTGGTTATGATAATCATGCAGATTCATCTATCGATGATCAACATGTTGATTTAAAACATGTTTATCAGCTGGAAACTGTTATTCAATTTAAAATACCTTTATTACAAACAGTATATTCAGGTTTAGGTTATTATAGGGTCTAGAGATTAAAACTTTAGAACAAAGTCAATAATCAATACTAAATGAACATGAAGAATCATCTACGTCTGGACTTATCTGAAGTGTTTTCAATGTTCAATGAATGCACGGTATCCAAGAACTTTGGTATTCCTCTGTCTTTTTAATAGATGAGTCGTGTATGTTAGGGTATAATCATCATCAGAAGTTTGAATTCAAATGCCAAGAGCTACCAAAAACTGTTTGGTTTGATTACGTCTAGTGTGACGTGTTGCGACAAAGCGAATGATTAACAAACATTTTAAAATCTAGTCCTTAAAATAAATTCTTTGATATAAATAGCACTTTAGTATCTATCCTTCATCTACTTAATGAACTGGAAAATGACCGGAAGTACTAGATTTGACTCATTTATCGAACATTGAAAACATTTCAGTTAACCTCAGCTAGTATCTAGGCGTTAAAAAATGTCTATACAAGTTTTAATTACTACAGTACAAATTAAGATCAACTATTTATGATCAATAGATCAAAACATATAACATCTATATAATTATAGTAATTGTAAAACAATTATTTCATAATTATGAATTTATTGAAAATATGAGTCTTATGACTAAACAGATGGACAGTGGCTAGCACTGGGATCCAGGACACGCGTTTCATCTCATTTGGGACTCGTCAGCTGGATGTACCTGCATCTCAGAGTTGATGTTCACTCTGGGACTCAAAAAGTACTGGGTTCAAGTCTCAGAGTGAACATCAACTCTGAGATGCAGGTACATCCAGCTGACAAGTCCCAAATAAGACGAAACGCGCGTTCTGGATTATAGTGCTAGCCACTGTCCATCACCGTGTATAATGCTTGTGAATCAAGGCTACATCGAGGCAATACGCAGAGTGTGCACATATGCCAGTCAGAGACTGATCAATTGCAGTCCTAAACATCAATGGAAAGATTCAAACGAACAATACCAAGTGAATCTATACAAGGTATAGCGTAACTTAAATTCATATCGTTCAAGGTTGACATGGAGTTAATTGTATAAAAGAATTTGTATTTTGTTGTTAAATGGCTTCTTAAAACTAAAAAAAATGAAAAGAATTCACCAACTCAATTTATACTGTGCCTATATAATTCATTATTACATTCCATGGCTTGTTTGTTTAAACCAGCAAGATCTAATGTTGTGCTGTAAACAAATTTATTGATTTTATTAAAGGTGAAAAATATGTAGAATCAAGTGTTAACTTTCATTGTTTAAAACATTCTTTAAGTTAATGCTACGTTTTTTTAATTTTACATCATAGCCTGACTTTAGTTAAAAGAAAAGAACTAGAGAAAATCATGAATGTGCTTACAGGTGAAAAACTTGGATCAATAATACTTGGAGCTCTGATGAAAAGTTGGGACAAGTAAAGTTCATTCATGCCAGATATGAGAGGAATATTGTAGTGAACAAAACACGAATGGGGACAATCGAATATATCTAAGCACAACGTTACAGAATATCTCATTAAAATATGAGAACCATATAGTGAACAGCAAATTTGCAAAATAATAATCAATTGTCTGAATTCGACTGTTTCTTTTGCAAATATCCGATTATAATTGTTCATGCATTTTCGTACCAATAGCGTACCGTTTCCGTTCTCTCCTTATCGATCTTCTATTAAAGTACATTCAATGTCCGACCATCGTTATATACTACTTATGTAGATATCAGTAACCCACACGACAATATTACCAATGTAAGTGGATGTCGATCACGTATTATAAAGCATTGATTAAAGTAAGAATCACTAACTACTTTATAGCAACTAAGTGATCCGAAGGTTAAGCACTCCTCATGAAGCCTTAAGGTTTTGAGTTCTATTGCAGATAGGATCAGGAATTTGAACTATTAGGAAATTCATTAACAGAATGAAATAGTTGTCTAATACTCGTTAGTTTACAACAGTTCCCGAAACGAAATCAGTTCGTAATATGAAATAGTGAAATTAAACAACCTTCATAATAAAAGACGTTACCATTATTATTATTTATAGACAACGATTAGTACTAGAAATAAACTGAAAATTGGGTGCACATAAAGTGATCTTAACAAACTTGAAATACTAAATTTTACTGGTAAGAATGATGTTTGTAGACAATTAAATAAAATATCAGTGGGTTTTTTCTATGAAAGTTATGGAATGGTCATTTAAATAAACGAAAGAGAGATTATCTAGAGTGTAAACTGTAAAAATCTCTCTTAGAATGCTATAGTTTACATTACGAATCGATTTTAATTATAAAATCATCACAAACCACAAAGGACTAAGAAGTTATATCTTCATATTATGGGACTCATTTGCAAGTGGCACTCATGACTCTATTGGTGATGGCACACAAGAAATTCATGCCTCATAACTAGTGCTTCACCTTTAAGTCACTAAGTTTACGTATCTAACTTCTCAATAACACATGGCCATCAATCATTCCTATGAGTGATATTTTTTTTGATATCTGACATGACTGAACTCTACTGATCATCGTTTCTTATAAGAGCTTCAAGAGTTGTTTCTACAAACATATTTTTTATTATTTAACAGAAGAACTTATATGTCAACTATATTTAACGGATGAATTGACTCGGATCACTTGATTTGCCCAGAATGATCAGACAGTACATAACATTATCGTTGTGTGTTAGGTTGGTTACTGTAGTCAATGATTGGAGATCTTATGTGTCACATGTTTCAGAGTTAGTCTTTATGTTGCAGATGCATTAATTCTTTGTCTTCTTTGATATTCAGTTTGAAAACCACTGTATATTTATAGGTACTCGGATTCATTCTTTCTTCTGAGACTATAATTTCTATTAATCTCGATAATATTATAGTAACGGATGCTCAGATGGGGGACAACCAACTTATTAACGAACACGAAATTACAGAACATCTTCATAAAATATGAGGACCATACATTGAATACTTCATTTGCAAATTTTCATCGTTTTTTCTTCACATTCTGTATGATTCTTCCAGTTCATAATTCATTTTTATTTTAATCTCCATTCTCTTCAACTTGATCTTAGCGTAATACTGCCAGGTTTTCCAATTCCGACTGATGTGTCATACTACTTATAACTGTCGACTTAAGTACCATATATCACCCTATTACTACTTCTACTACTTTAACAAATGTCTTGATAAATTCATTTAGATGTGCTGATATAACCTGGAAAATTGCAAATATTTGTCAGGTTCTACGTTGTTTTTGTTTGAACGACTGGGAAATTGAAACCAAGAATATTGTTAATTATCAATAAGATATGTCAAACACTTTTGAAGAATGATTTATTGGTAGTAATTGAAACAAAAACCTCAACTTGAAAGTACTCTAGCAGATACGGGGAAGATTTTATTTATGAACATTGAATACAAGGGAGATACCATTAAAATATATCAAAGAACGGGCTATTTAGAGTTCTATAAAAGTTAGTTTATTCAAAGGAAACCTAAACTGTTTTCTCCAGTAGAAACTCATCCACTAAAGTATCAGGGATAAATTGTCGATTCGGGTCACCTCAATATACGTCAATAAGAACCAATCAACATTGAGGTGTACAGGACAAGCTGTGGAGAAATGCAAACACTTCACTTCTACTCAAAGTTTGTGCTGATGATTTCATTCAGAAGGACGATGAAAGCCCCACGACCAAACCATCCAGCTCAGAGAACAAAACTCCATCAAAATATATAATGTATTACAATATGTACAATTACAACTCTACTTGATTCTTCTTCTTCTTCTCGCTCACTTGTCTATCAAAATTATTCTTCCTAAGAGATATTCTTTGAATAATAACGATTATGATAATAATAATATTAGTGATAGAGTAACTTTCGAGGAAAAAAAATATTTTGAAAAGGGATAGTATCTAATTCCATATTGCCTGATGGATAAATGGATCAAATCATCATTTAATCTGCAAAGTATGAAGAAAATGAAAAGAAGAAAAAAACAATCGAGAAATAGAAAAGATAAAGATTGTTTTTAAAAAAAGAAGGAGCAAATAGTAAACAAGAAACAAAAGTAAACAACAACAATGTAGAGAAGAACGAAAATAAAAGAGAAAACACACAATGAAAAGGAAGTCAAAAGTTAGTTGATTTACATTGTATGCCCTAATTCATTATTATTAGGCACATTGACAAGAACAATTCCACTACACAGAAAATGCATGTGAAAATAGAAAATTAAGGGGAAAAAATTGAAGAGAAAAATGCGAGGGGGGTAGAAAGTGATTGTGTATTTATGTGTTTGTGTGTGTATGTGCGAGAAAATAAATACAAAAAAAAACAACTGTTCCACTACTTGATTCATTGAGAAAATGAAAAGTGAATTGTAAAGTTGAATTCATAAAAACAAAAGGAAAAAAAAAGCATAACAGAAAGTACACTAAGAGAAAAACATAAAGTTAAGATGAAAATTTGATAGAACATAATCTATACATAAATATAGATGATGTACTATTTAAGAGAAAGAGGATTGTGAAAAAGTTGTGAATTGAACAAGAACAACAATAACACTAACAACACGTTAATTAAAGAAAGGAATTGAATATATAATCATCTATATGGATTGTAATCACAACAAAGTATAATTTGTGCGTGTGTGTATATGTGTTTACATTACAATTGTTTATACAATACATGAATAACAAGCTTGTTAATGCTTTGTTTTATTAATAGTAGTACTTTATAGACTTGTAAAAAAAAAACAACAGTAAAACAATGAACAATATCTGAGAAATTGCACTCATAGCACTAAGTTTCGTTCCATATAGGAATCAAAATCAATAAAACGAGGAAAGGGAGAGGAAAATAGAAAACCAAGTAAGAAATGATCCCTATTGTAATTACTATTGAAAGGTAACAATAATAAAAAATGGTTGACATTTGAATGAAGTAGCTTAATTATGAAGACTAGAGAAATACTATAAATAATCATAAATTAAGGCAAATCAAAATGAAATATTTGACAAGAGATGTAAATCAATGAATGAATGTTTTGGTAGGAGAGTTGAGGATAATTATAGATCATACACGTCCACCTCCACCATCATTAAACTTAGGAAGAGGTTTATTCATATTAGTATTAATTAAAATAGACGGAACAAATGCTTGTAATTCTTCAGGTTTAGCTTTATTTACATCTTCATAACAGACATACAGTTTCGTCGGAGGTTTATTACTATTACTGTTACTAGGAGTAGTATTGTTATAATTGTCATTAGTATGATTACTGTTTGTACCGTTGTTATGATGATGAGGATTGTTGTTATCAGTTTTATTATAATTTTTACTACCACTTCTACCTCTACTATCATTAACTGTAGTATGAGGTTCAATATAAGACGCTGTACTAACTATATAAGTAGTACTATCTGGAATAGCATTTTCTACATTATTATTATTACTTATTGTTTTACTTGTCGTGTTAATTACAGTTGATATGTCCGGAGTAGTACTATTAGTAGTATTAATTGTACTAGTAGAGTATGTTGTTGTTGTTGCTGCCTTTATTATACAATCTGAAGATGATGAAGATGACATTGGTTTAATACCAATATGATTATTGTTATTATTGTTAATTGTAGAAGCATACGCTGCAGCTAATGATGATTTTTGTAAACGATCCATATGATGATTCCATGCATTTTGAAACATATCATGACCATCATAAAGAGTAGATGAATGTAATGAATCAATACAACCATTTGATGATTTAATTTCATGTAATTTTTCTGATAAATTTATAGGATATTTCTCGGTAGCATCAAGAGCTATTGAAATAAATAAATAAATACGAAAAAGAAGAGAACAAAAGTAAATTGGATAATACAATACATTATTATGAAATGATGTTAATGAGAAAAAAAAAGAATATGACGAAGATAAGTAAGTCTAATGATTAAGCGCTCATGCGCAAGACTGATAGGTCCAGGGTTCGAATCGTAGATGCGCACTGCTATGGAGTCCCATAATAGGACGAAACGGTCGTCCAATGCATCCAGGTTTTCCATGGTGGTCTAGCTTCAACTGATTCATGATCACAACTATAGAAGATCACTAAATTATTTTATTTAAAAAAAATTAAAAACACGAAGTTCAGTGAAGGAATTTCTTTTCATCGAATTTATTATCAAGCTGTACAATCGTATATATAAGAATTTTATTGTTATTACTGTATTCCCCCTTTACTTATGTCTTATATTCTCATTATTTTGTTCATGAATACTCATCATATCACCTTATTTATGTTTACACTTCTATGACCTTCAATGTCCTTTACTTATTGTAACAAAAAACAAACATTTTAATCATCTTATTATACTCACTAAATCTATTGTTATTACCCGTATTACGTAATCTAGCATTGTAATCTTTCTATTACGTCATCTAGGTTATACATGTCCACATTTCCTCACAGAATTAGTACTTTTCATGTATATACGATTGTACAGCTTGATAATAAATTCGTTGAAAACAAATCCCTTTGCTGAACTTCATGTTTTTTTAATTTTTTTTAATTTTATTCTTGAACTATGAAAAAATACTAAATATCCACAAAACCTCTTCTGATAAGGTCGATTTTACACATATGAATAATCTTATATAGTTGAAAACATGAGTCGATTGAAGCTAGACCACCATGGAAAACCTGGAAGCACTGGATGGCCGTTTCGTCCTATTGTGGGACTTTAAGTTTAGTGGTTAAGCTCTCGCGCGCAAGACTGATAGACCCTGGGTTCTAATCTTCAGAGGTGGGATCGTGGATGAGCACTGTTGAAGAGTCCCACAATGGGACGAAACGGACGTCCAGTGCTTCCAAGTTTTCCATGGTGGTCTAGCTTCAATTGGCTCATGATATCAACTATATAAAATTACTAAATTTTATACTGTAATAAGCACTGTGTTTTAATGTTGAAACCAATCAGTTAAAAAAAGTGTATGTTCACTGTAGATTTCATTAAAACCTGTATACACTTATTGAATAGGTAACTTTAAATGACTGGAAAAAACACGATGGCAAGTGTTTTAGCTGAATTGTTGAAATAAGTGTTTAAATCAAAAATGGAAGGTGGAAATTTTCCTCAAACAAAAGATGAGTATCGATTCGTACAGCTAATAATCACCACACACATTCAAATATCGTACAACAGATAGCCTTTCATGTCTACTAGCAATCAAGAGATTGAAATAACGATTAACCTTAATTAATAACATTATTATCGAGAAAAAATTTAACAATTCATTTTGTGATCAGTTAAACAAATCACGCTGAATGACATATAACCTATGCAGTATCCATTGTCTACATATAATATAGATACACGTGTGTGTGTATTCTCTGATATATGTTTCATTTGTAGTCGATGAAGGGATTCTATCTCATGACAAAGTCTCAAAGATGTGCTCTCAACATCGGCAGAATAGTTTTACAAAAAGAATTAGATACAGTTAAAATAGATGCCTTGAGTAAATATACACACACACATCTTTTTCCGTTCGATAAAAGCTTTCAGTGTAGTTAAACAATTGTTGCAGTGATCAATGACGATTTAGGAGAAAAGTAACAGTAGTAGGATATTCAAGATTTGTGTTATATCCAAGTGAAGAAGCGAGTACGGATAACTTCCGGGACCTATTAATGGAAGATTATTCTATATATATTCTTATTGTTTAACTATTGAGTGATTAGATTATGTATATCTACATTCATCTTATTATAAGCATCATTTTGACCTGTGGATTATTATTATACGAATTACCATTACTAAATCATACTTAGTTTATTGATTACTGTCTCCCACGTTCACAGCCACACTTGGCTTGATCTTGTACAAATATTATTTTCTATTTCATGGTGTGATGCGCTCTGTTTGTCTGGTATATGAACTGAGTATGCTTGAAATGAATGATTCACGTAGCAGAAGCTGTAATTGGTGTTCTGGACTTAACTGGAAAGGCTAAGCGGACAAGGGACCAAAAAGGACCCTAGACTGCTCATACCAGTTGAACGTCATTGATTTGGCACAGTGTTAAGATTAGACAAGTCATATTCCGATTAGCGGATAATTCACGTGATAAAAAGACGGACATAAAATCATAACTAATTGGCATACAGCGTTGTTCCTTTTTTTAAATTCATAACAATTCGGTTGGACGATTATTGAAATTTATGTCAATTTAGAGATCGCGCCTGTCACAGACTGAGTGATATCGCATGTTTAGTGGTAGTCAATGGTAAACTGTCGATCTAGGTTTCGTGCTAGTTGATATTCATCAATTAAGCTTATCTGTAATCGTTATGGGATTCGAACCTTTGTCACTCAGCTTCACATTTTGAGAAGTTATCACTGAGTAGCTCAGTGAGCCTCCACTGATCGCCTGTAGGACTGAGATTTTAGTATTGACTGTCCGGTGAATGATGATGGACGTTAAGTATGTTTAATTCTTTGGCAATAATGGAATTCCGCCAATCAAAGTGCCTCGAGATTGTACATGAGCCTTAGTCTCGCGTGTCAGTTAACATGAAATCTAGATTAAGAGATTCCTCCCGATTATTGCCAAACATCTGACAACATGTGATGTTGAGTCAATTAGACTAGCAGTCACAATGGAACTTCATTGGTAGAATTCTATCGAACTAAAAAATTAGACAAACATGATATTATTTACTATTCAGTGACCAACATTTTATGTATTCCCTAGAAACTGAATTCTTACACATGGTCCTGAAGTTTTAGTGAATCATTATGGAGTTCAGTCATATCGGAATTGAGGATAGTGAATTCTCTAAAATAGCACTTAAATAAGATTGTGTCATGTCAAAAACTAACTGAAACAGAAAATATGTAGAGTATTGTATACTGATTTTATGGTTTGAAATTATTGTACTCGTTGTAAAGAAAGCCGAATGTCCTAGATTCAATTTTATATAGATGTTTGTAGTTTTCCGTTATTGAGGAGGTTCAAACTAAGAAAAGAAAGACCATCACTAAGGTAACGTTATTTCCCTTGAGTTTACATATACCATCTGTTTGAAACTGAAATCCAGAAATATCTTTCGGTTATCTTAAATTAACTTATAAACTTTGACTTAAATGATTTTATCTGCATTCTATTTGTGTATAGAGACAGGCAGAGTTAAATATTTTATGTATAACTATATAAATACATTTGTTATGTTACCAAACATTTTTGCTATAATCGAGTTATAGATCAGAAGGAGTTTTGTGGAGATTTCAGTATTTTCATAGCTGAAATCATGAGTCAGTTGGAGCTAGACTACCATGGAAAACCTGAAAGCACTGGACGGCCGTTGAATGCCGGCTCAGTGGTCTATCGGTTAAGTGCTCTGGCGCGAGACTGGTAGGTCCCGGGTTCGAATCTCGTGAGGCGGAATCGTGGATGCGCACTGCTGAGGAGTCCCACAATAGGACGAAACGGCCGTCCAGTGCTTCCAGGTTTTCAATAGTGGTCTAGCTTCAATTGACTTATGATTTCAACTATATAATCGAGTTAGTAAAAAAGATAAATTATATATATATATATATATATATATATATATGTTCGAAGAGATTTGTTCAACTTACGCAAACTAGCCCGTTGATGCAATACAGTTAATCGTCTAGCTAACAAATAATGTTCTGCTGATATTTTTAAATATTGTAAATTAGAACAAGCTTTTAAAGTATAATCAGGTAGAAATCGAGCTTCTGATGCTAAACGTGCTGATTGAACAGATGGATCCATATTTTCAGAAGGATTTGGAAATAATTCATTGACACCTATTTTATTGTTTTTTTTTATAAAAATTAAATAAAAATGAGATTGAAAGATAGAAAGGAAAAGAAAAAGGGGGGATTTATTGACAATCAACTCATGAATACGCTTGTTTAATCAAGAAACAAATTACTTTTTTTATTCTTGGCATATCGAAACACTTTTGGAACGATTGATATACCCCCGGAACTCGAATCCAGTACCATTCGCCTAAAACGCCATCGCGTCACCCGCTTAGCTGCTGAGTTCAGTTAGCCAGTTTTGTGTTGTCAGAACAGCCCGTTAGTAAACTGTGGAAAAAATAGCCCTCTACACTTTTCTAAAATATGAATTATTGATGTTGTTGAGAAAGATACTGAGATTTTTACAATAAGGCCTACCATTGTGCTCAGAAAACACAATTTCAACAAAACTAGTACACAGATTTGTACTCGTTTACAATATAGTAATATCAATTGAAGCTAGACCACCGTGGAAAACCTGGAAGAACTGGACGGCCGTTTGGTCCTATTGTGGGACTCCTCGGTGGTCTAGCGGCAATTGACTCATAATTTCAACTATATATATAAATTACTGAAAATCTCCAAAGAAAACCCCCTAATTCATTATTGTTAGATATTTCTCTGTACTTAACTTGTTGCCACATTATTGTAAACTTGTTATTTTAATTTGTATCACGCACATTCTGCTTATATATAATCTATAATGTGTCATAGTCTTCTATTTAATGTATATAATCACGTGTTTGGGTGTGAATAATATAAGATACTAGGATGGCTTTTCTAGTATTCTGGCAATCAGTTTAGGGGCAGGAGAGTTTCTCTTATTCAATCGATCATTAGCAAAAACATTGGGCTTACTGTAAAATATGTGGACGAGCTTGACAAATAGTTCTTAAAATGACCATATCATTTTGAAGACACTTTTCAACCAATTAACAGAGAGTGTATGTATAAATCAAAAGCATTTCGTGTCGGAAGTAAAAAAAACTGCATATTTTTAAGAAGTTTATTGACATTTCAAGGTTATAATCGGTTTACTTATCTTAGTATTGCAGAAATATCGTTACGTAAATCTCATTTGTCTGAGTGAAAATGCATTCACCATAAAACGTTCGTTTCTAAATTCAACTAAAAAGGTATTTTCTAGGAAATACATTATTACCTATGGAGTTATTATTTACAATTTTAGAGATGGAATTCTAGAACAGTCATTGTCTCCATATCGGTATGAAGAATTGATATGTGAAAATCGTTTTCTATTTTAGCATTCTTACCAGCTCCCCTATCATTTAGTGTATTACTAATAAATTTCCTTTGAGAGTTCGCCTGTAAATAACGTTACTTGAAATCAGTACATCATTAGAACACATGTTGCTGTACTGCGTTAGAGTCCCAGAGTGAACATCAACTCTATCATGCAGGTACGTCCGGTTGATGAGTTCTAAATAGAACGAAACAAGAGTCTTGGCTTTCACTAATAGCCACAATCCATCAGTTTTTTCTATGAAAAAAAACAGACTTACGTTTTAAAACAGCTTCACCAAACATAAGAAAAGGTCCAGCTTCAAAAATTAACCCTTCAACACCAATTTGAACAACAGCACGTCCTTGCAATAAAAGAATAGCATAATTTGACCATTGACCCATATGATACAGAGTATTTGCTTCATCATCTTTTGGACTAAAAAGTTAAAAAACAGAACAAAATATACATCATAAGCTTATGGAAAATGTTATTGTTTTGATTATGATGTCCTAGTAGTAAGAAAGAAACAAATAGGATGAACATACAAAATTATCGAACTTCGAATGGAAACTAGGTTATGATTAAACTTAATTTGAAGCTTGAACTAAACCAATAAGCATAAAAAATATCAGTCGTATAGAAATACTGGTCTGAAAAGTTTACTCGTACTAATTCTCGTTCCGTATATATTAAATCAGTTAAAATTTATGCTTATGTATTGTATTAACTGGTGTTGTTTGCTTTTATCATTAAGCAACTAAACTGAATGCTTGTAGGCTTGAGAAGCTAGTTGTACACACACTGTATTTCATTGTTCTGTGAAGTGTTCTTTCGCTTCCAACAAAATCAAGCAATATGATATGCAAGCTGGATATGCTAAAGCAATCTCATCAGAGGTCATCATTAACTTTCTAACTGTGCAAATATTTTAACAAAATTCTCCTATTTCATAATTCATTTGAATTAATTAATTATGTATGCTTAATGTAGTCACATGGAATTTTGTGAAAAGTTTAAATCTTTGTTTTTCTAATACTTAGTATTAAGACAATTCACGAGTGGAAATGAAGAAAGTTATTTTCTTATGTATTCTTGAGAAAGGTTAAAGTTGTTCCACTTTTAAACTGATGTATATATGGTATACAATAAAAAACCATGTACATAACGTAACGGGTTTTATGGAAGACCAACCATGGAGTAAAGGAATCTTATGACTGTTATGTATACTTTATAAGCAAAGATGGATAGTGGCTAGTTATGAAGTCCAGGACGCACCTTTCGTCCTATTTGGGACTTACATAGATGTACCTGCATCTCAGAGTTGATGTTCACTCTGGGATTCGAACCCAGTACCTTTCACTTCAAACGTCATCGCGTTATCCATTCAGCTACTGAGTCTTGATAGCCACTTGCTTGTGCGATGGGGTGAAGCTTAAATTCAATTAGTATCCATCTTTGCTTACAGTGCTTGTGAAGTAAGGCTATATCGAGGCAATACGCACAGTTTTCACATATGCCTATTAGAGACTGACTAGTTTCAGTCCTAAACATCAATGGGAAAATTCAAACAAACAATACTAATTGTTATGTATACTGTTTATCAACAATCCATTCATTGATTTTCATGTAAAATTATTGTCATCTCTACTATAACCTTTAAGAATAAGATAATAGTAATTCATTATCAACACAGAGAACAAATGATCAATACAATTCGATTTGCACTAGAGGACTAGAAAAAGAAGATATTTTGTATTACTATGTATTCAATCAATGTAAATACCTAGTTCTACAGGATATCAATCGCGGTATGAAAAGCTCACTGGTAACGCCTTATAATGTGAAGACAAATGACGCAAGCTCAAATTCTATGGGGAATATCAATTCTTTCGAAAATGTAGTTACACTTTAGTCAGAAGGACCAGAAAACATGAAACCTAGGTTCTAGGTTTTATGCTGTCTACTTTCAACCAACTAGCATGCAACACATATTGAAGGTATTACTGGTAATATAATGCTAAAAGTTCACAGAAAGAAAGAAACAATATGCACACTGAAAACACTAGCAAATAAATTCTATAAAGTAAATCACTTCAAGACATTTCTAACTATTAGTATTATTCTACCACAGTGGTGGTCTAATTTGTTCTGCTACCTACACTTTGGACATTATTATTATTATGAAAATATTATCATTAATAACAACTATAATGTTTAAACAATTTCTATTAATTATAAGCATATTTAATAAAACTATAAGGAGGAAGATACTGTTTACAAGCAAATATAAATCATATTAATGATCCACTTGTTATTGTTTGGTTGAATCTCACCATTGATGTTTAAAACTGCAACTGATCACTCTCTTAATGGCCATATGTGCATACTGTGCGTATTGCCTTGATATAGCCTTAATTCACAAGTAAATGGATAGTGGCTAGCGCGATGGCGTTTGAAGCGAACGGTACCGGGTTCGAGTCCCAAAGTGAACATCAACTCTGAGATGCAGGTACATCCAGCTGACAACTCCCAAATAGGACGAAACGCGCATACTGGATTCTACTGCTAGCCACTATCCATTTTTGCTCAAATTAATGATCGCGAAAAAAAACTCATAGGGAATATAGAGAAGATTATAGCTTATTTACCAAGTACAAGTTTGTATACTAAATTTTAGACTAATATTGTTTGTGTTAGGACTAATTATAATCCTGAAATTATTTGATTGGAATTTGAACTTGTGACCTAATAAGTGGTAAATCATGTGTTTTAGCCACTAATTCAATAGACAATATAAAAAGAACGAAATGATTCAGAAACTGATAATTTACATTTCTAACTTCAATCATTTTATTATGTTGTGAAACTACCTTTTTAATGTTACTGATAGGTAATTGTCAGATACTCGACGTGGTTTGAACTCCTCTGTTTATTATTTTCACTAGAGCTCCGGAAATTATCTTTTGAGACAAGTCACTGGTAAGCCCATGTTTGGTATTAGTAGTATGAAACGTTTGTGCAGTTTGTTAACATTACAGACTGACCTTAATTAAATAACTAAGAACAACCAGGAAGAACTGGACAACTGTTCCTAGTAAAGGACTTCTCAACAGTGCGAAAATATGTAAACTTTTAGATACCGGATCTGTAGTCTTAAGATCAAGTGCTGAGAGACCCAAAGGTCCTGAGTTCAGTATCTAGTAGTGGGTAGTAGACACATGTGCCAAGTCCGATACCATGACGAAACAGTTGTCCAGTGTTTCATGGTTTTTAATGATTGTCTAAGATCAGCTCTCCGTGTAACCTACAAAAGATTACACCCATTATGTATGTATTTCTTTAGTATCATTGAGTTGGATCATAAAAAATTTACATTTCCAACTGTAATCAGTTCACATTATCATGAGACTATCATTAATTGTGATTGCTGGTGCTTGTTTTCATTCCCAACAATTGATTGTAATTTAGCAGTTATGACTTTGTATCTGGACTACCTGATCTTACCATCTAGATATTTCAACAAGTTATGTTTTTGTTTGTTTTAACACATCAGTACGTTTATTAATCGCATAATCTATTCAGGTATCTATCTATATAGAAAGTTGACGACCTATCGTTTTACAAAATGTAAGTATGAATGTATATCATCATAAAATTTTACTCAATATAAAAGCAAACAAATAAAGCTTGTAACATTAAGCGCATTTGACTGTGATCCTAATATAACGGTATCCAAATTACAAATACAAATCTAAGATAGTTGAATTCATGGGTCGATCTAAGTCAGATTACCGTTGAAAACCTGGAAGCACTGAACGACTGTTGGATGCCGGCTCAGTGGTCTAGATATTAATCGCTGGCGCGTGAAACCGAAGGTCCTGGGTTCGAGTCCTGCATTCGGGATCATGGGTGCGCACTACTGAAGGGTCCCATGCTAGGACGAAACGGCTGTCCAGTGCTTCCAGGTTTTAAATGGTGGTCTAGCTTAAATCGACTCATAAATTCAACCATTCAAATTATCACAATCTCCACAAATCCTCGTTCTGTTGTCTAGTATAAACAATTTTATTTGCCTGTATTATGTTTCACGTCTAAGATCTAATAATTATATTTAAAAGAAGCACTTATGATGTAATGATTTTCAGAGAGGTGTAAAATTAGGACACGAACTGGGGAATTATTTGCAACAAATGAGGAATTATAAGTTGAACAGTTAATTTGTTCTATCTACATTTTAATCATTCATTAGATGAATATCATACTGAATGGAATGTGAATTATTCAGGTGTTGTACATACAGAGTATATATATATATATATATATATATATATATATATATATATATATATATGACATTTCTGTAAGATTCCTAGAATTTGTAGTAGGATATTAACATCTCTTGGATCGCAGTACATTTCGAATTAAATTAAGTAAGAAAATATAAATTCGATAGGAGTGTAAGGATTGCATACATCCCAAGACCTGAAAGTTTAGATTTAAACTTCACGTTGGGTCGTCTTTATGTTGATCATTGGAGAATTAAAAAACCCAGAGCAAAACTACTATTCATTCGTATATGACGTTTAATACTTCACTAATTTTTATAATTTGAATAACGGAATGGTTTTGGTTAGACAACTGTTGGAAATCAGAAAGCACTAGACAACTGATTCTTCCTAGTACAAGGTTTTTCAGCAGTGTGCATCCAAAGATCCACTGAGGAGGAAGACTTTATGATATTCAGGTCTCGTGTGATAAGTTTAACCTGTAGACCATTGAGTTGCTATTAAATAGCTTACATTACCCTAGGTGTTATTGGTTTTTTAAGCATACTTTATTGATATTGTGCAAACTGTTAACAGTAACGGTAAAGTACTTTTTTTCTACTAAACTGACATTAAAATTATTATAAAATCAATATCAACTAGTCAGTGCTATCTCTTAGATACGTCGTGTTCTCTGAGCTGAATGGCTATGAACAAGCTTTTATTGTCATTTAAGACAACAATGTCACTATTTACATTATATAGAACCTAGATATTTTAATTTCTCTACAACATTAAGTGACATCTTATTCTGTTGATAGAAAACAAAAACTTCAGCTTAGAGGATCTAGTATCTTCAAAATCTACTTTTTGAGCTATAAATCTCTTCTAAATCGGTTGAATGCTGGTGTTTCAGTAGATAGGTTGGCGATGATAACAATCCAACATGAATAACAAACAGTTAGGAGGAAGAAAAAGCGAAAAAGAGAAATGCTTAAAAGATAATGATTTACATAAAAGTATAATGTACAGCAGTCAGCTTTGTAGTACTCTGTGGCTGCGAAACACAGCCTATGGAAATTGAAGACATACATGCACTAAAAGTTTTTGATTATAAGTGCTTTCGAACAACTAATCGAGGAATAGTAAGATTAGGTGTCGAACCTTCGTCAAATATCGCGAATCAGTTGATGATAATAGTGAGTCACCAATGACTGAGATAGTTGTGATATGTTTAGAATAAGCACAACTACTGCCTATCTCAGCATCTATTTTTCGATACGGTAGACATAGTTTATAATAAAACTGGGAGTGGGTAAACCTAAACATGTCATCATTTCATGAAGTCAGTGGTTGTTGTCCTTCAGGTCACTTCTGATTACCATCAACTGACCTTATCACTAAACGACTTTTAATTGGGCTCACCATATTAGTAAGTCCAAACAATCTAGTTGGGGTAAGTGCGATAACAATCATTATCGGGTTGGAGAGGTTGAGTGATATTTGAATTAGAAGTGATGGTAGTTGTTCAGCTGAATCCACTCCTTATCCTTCCAGATATCTTGTAATAGATTGAATGTACTGTACAAAAATTGATGTATGAAGCTTATAAGTCTATCCTTCGCTTCACAGTCAAAGTAGTACCGCTAAGTTTAAAACTTGTGAAAACAATTTTCATAATTGTAAGCAAAGATGGATAGTGGCTAGTTGTAGAATCCAGGACAAGGCGCATTTCGTGCTATTTGGGACTCGTCAGCTGGATGTACCTACATCACAGAGTTGATGTTCACTCTGGGACTCGAACCCAGCACCTTTTGCTTCAAACGCCATCGCGTTATCCACTTGGCCACTGAGTCCTGGTAGCCACTTGCTTGTGCAATGGGGTGAAGTTTAAATTCACTATGTATTACTTGTTTGAATCATCCCATTGATGTTTGGGACTGCAACTGGTGAGTGAACATCAACTCTGAGATGCAGGCACATCCACCTGACGAGTCTCAAATAGGACGAAACACGCGTCAAACTGGATTCCACTGCTAGCCACTATCCATCTTTGCTTACAATGCTTGTGAAATAAGGCTATATCAAGGCAATATGCACAGTATGCACATATGCCAATTAGAGACTGACTAGTTTCAGTCCCAAACATCAATGGGAAGATTCAAACAAGTAGCAATTAGTGAATTTAATTTTCATAATGTTCTTATCTGGTTCAAATAAAATAATGTTCAAAAATATCATTACATTACTGCTTACTTGTAAATACATTCACCAACAATATTTGCATTGAGGAAACTTTGTAGTACAGAATAACAAATATATTTCTCTTCAAATGATTTAACTTCTAAAAATGTAGAAAGTTGAATAATTATTTAATAAGCAATGAATTTCAATAATAAGAGGAAGAAGTATTAACAAGAGTAGTAGTAACAGATAACCGGGACAAAAAACCCCAGCACAGCGAAAGGTTAGAGAAGATTTATCTTTCTGGAGATTGATTTTATGAAAAGTTAGTTCTTTGAATTAGGTGGTTTTATTGGTGATTTTACTTAAGAGAAAAAACTATGCATTTCAAAGAATAGGATATAAACAAACTCCTCCCTTTTGAGCTATAAATATTATAGTTGAAAGCGAGGTCATGGATGAGCACTGCTGAGGAGCCCCACAATAGGACGAAACGACCTTTCAGTGCTTTCAGGTTTTCCCTGGTGGTCTAGCTTCAATTGACTCATGCTTTCAACTATGAAAATACTAAATCTCCACAAAAAACCCCTTCCGATAATTATAAATATCACTTATTATTTCAATATTATATGAGTGTAAAATGATTTTCATTGTTTAAAAATTGGAGAATTTCTCTAAAAAGGGTAAGACTTTACAAAAGAGAGAACATGATTAAGCCATTCAGCTGACAGAAAACAGAGATTAAACAAAATATAAATAGAATTATAAAAGTAACATGATAAGTAAAAGAGGAATTGAAAATAGGAATGAATACATAGTTGTATCAGCCTATAAAATAGATGTGAATGAGGACATATAAATGTATCATCTCACATTCTTATCAGCTCGAAAATACATATTAGAGTATGAAAGCAACTATCTATATGAGCCATAATACAGTGTAATAATCAGTAACAAATGTACATTCAACAAACCTCATTTTTATGACAAAACAAAATTAGGGGATAGGAGTTTATCTGGAAGCAGTCTCAACATCGCTAAACGATAACGAAAGACTCTCCAGTCATTTATCAAATAAATAAGTGATAAATGAACTCACTGTTAGTAGTTAGACAAATAAGTACAGGTTATTTACGAAATATAGGTCAGTTTAATATATAAAGCTATGCTTATTATATCTACACTGTGTAGTAGAAGTATAGATTACTACTATATAGTGTAGTGGGTAAAAAAAAACATAGATACATCATGAACTTTAGTGATGATGATGATGATATTTATGGTGCAACTCAGTAATTAAGTATGGATTCGTATACTCGAATTTGGAACGAACATACTCTGTGATGCAAGTAATAAATAACAGATGAAGTTACAAGTTTCAAGCAATAAGTTGACGTTCAATTTTCTATTGCATTGAAGAAAATGGACAACTCCGGACTCTTGTTGCATTAAACTTTCTTGTAAATTAAGTGGTTGAATTAAAAACAATTTTCAAAGATGCATTATAAAATCACTATTTATGAGGTGATATTTGACAGTCATAAGAGAAGAAGCGATAATACCTGACTGCTCACTACCCGAAATACATGAACTGTGGTTCGGAAATCTACAACTAAATGGTTGAAAATTGAATGCTTGATCATTATCATAAATTTGCTGCTTCCTAGTCAACGAATTAAATCAAATTTCACTATTTATATTTCGATTCATTTAACCATGTGCTTACTAATGACTCATTATGATAGGTATTTCCCAGAGTTCTGGTAGAAAGCGGTGACTAGTGGGATTCAAAAATGTCAGTAAAGTATTTATCAACCGAAGACAACTAAACATGTGCAATATTACTAAGTGAATGAAGTTTGACACGTAGGTTATTTAATGCCAAGTCAATGGTCTAAGGATTAAGGATTGAATTCAAGACTCGAAGGCACTGTGTTCGACTCCGGAAGAGCTGAATATTAGGACGAAACAGTTGTCGAATGTTTCTTAGTTTTCAATGGTTGTCTAACTAAGGATGGTACATGATGTAAACCACAAGAAAAAGAATTAACATTTAGATAACTTAAAAAATATTGATTGCGGATTCACCGAATTTCTGTTATATTTTTCAATATCATAACACTAAATGTCTAATTACTTTGCAACAACCATGTTCAGTACAAGAAAACGATATAGAATCATTCATCCACCAAAATTAATTATGTGAATTTCCTAAGCCTAAAACAGTTCTACTACTTTCTTAATTAAACAACATGTCTGCAAACCCCGAAAGTATACCATATCATAAAATTTTATTTGATAGGAATTACAATAAAGGAAATAACAATAGAATTTAATTACTGCTCTACTATTACTACTACTATTATTAGTAATAGTAGTAGTGAGTACTGTTATTGTTATTATCATGGTAGTTCTATTGATCATAGAAAAAAAAGATAGAAAAAGAAAGGCATGGGATAGAAATTGAAGGAGTCAATTAAAAATGAGGCAGCAAATAAGATTTGAAATCAACAGACTAATAAACAGATGTACAACAACTTAAGGCAGAAAAAAAAAACAGTGACCGGATGGACACATTAAGCAATAACTTAGAGAACGAAGAGAACATAAAATAAAATGAAAAACTAGTACATACTTTTTATTAAACAAAAAAAAACGAGTAGACTGACCTTAGCACTTGAGAAAAGGCAAAAAAAAACTTTCTACAAGTGAATAATACATACATACATTTGGAAAGAATGAGAAATTATTTAAGGCAAAAGAAAACGTGTTTTAAACAAGTACCAAGGTAACAATAGAAAAAGAAAACACAAACTAGTAACAACATATTGATTCAATTCTTAATTGAAAAATTGGATTGGTTTGACGCAAGCAACAATAAGAGATGGGAATGTATGAGTTGACAAAAATAAAACAATCTATTTTACTTAATTATTATGATTACAATTAACTGATTAATTAAGTAGTATAATAAAATAGTGAGAGACACGTACATATAAAGAAAATGATTATTAATACATTGAATGTCTTAAAAGTAAATAACAATAGGCTAATTAATCTGTTAAATATTAGTATATTAACATTACAATAATAAAGGTCATGTATTTATGGGATCATTTTTCATTAATACAATGAAAACGTTATATTTGTTAAGAACATTTATATATAAAAATAAAAGGTCAACTAGACTGGTAATAAAGTTAAGAAATAGACAAGGATAATAATGACACCTAATCACTCTGGATAAGAGTAGAGGATAAACATCCATAATCCTCTGTTGCTAAACATATAATCGAAACAGGTCATAAGATTGATCTTAACTCAGCTTTTATTGTGTTGTTTAAAAGTGTAAAAGGGTGTATACTGTGGTTTATTGAAGCCTTAGCCATACGAAAATTCAAACCCCCTTTGTGTATTCAAAAACAGTTTGTTATCTCCTTAAACCTACCCTGGTAATAAATGCTTATTATCCAGAGTGATTAGGTGAAAACGTTATATCAGAAGGGGTTTTGTGAAGATTTTAGTATTTTTATAGAGTTGAGATCATGAGTCAATTGAAGCTAGACTCCGAGAGGTAAATTCAGGAGACATAAACACCGTTGGATGCCAGCTCAGTGGTCTATCGGTTAAGGGCTTCGGCTCGAAACTGGTAGGTCCTGGGTTCGAATCCCGCGAGAGTGGGTTCGTGGACGCGCACTGCTGAGGAGTCCCATAATAGGACGAAACGGCCGTCCAGTGCATCCAGGTTTTCCATGGTAGTCTAGCTTCAATTGACTCATGATCTCAACTCTATAAGAAAACGTTATATGTTGGAAACTAGAAACGCAAATTTACTGAGATCATGTATTGTTACTAATTAAGTAGTATTTATGAGTAGATAATCAAAACAAAATTATTGATATTTTGTTGATATTTAAACAATTTGGTTTTTCATCATATGACTTATAATTGATACATAAAATATTTAAAATAAGAATTATTGATAATTGAAGAAAAAACAACCTGAGTCATTTTCTCTGAATGGCAAAAACTTTAAAGTAATAATAAATGGAGTTGAGATCATGAGTCGATTGAAACTAAACCACCATAGAAAACCTGAAAGCACTGAACGGACGTTTCGTCCTATTATGGGAATCCTTAGTAGTGCACATCATATGCTCAATAGTGACTGGCAGCATGAGGTATTTCCCTGAGTTCTAATAAGAAGCAGTAACCAGTGGAATTCAAGCAGGTCTGTTGGGAGATATCAACTCACTGAAGACATTGGCGAATGGTTGCTCAATTTTGTGGATCGGTTGAAGTTAGACATTAACGCCATTGGATACAGGCTCAGTGGTCTATCGGTTAAGTGCTCTGGCGCTAGATTGGTAGGTCCTGGGTTCGAATCTCGTGGGTGAGGGATCGTGGATGCACACTGCTGAGGAGTGCTATAATAGGACGAAACGGCCATCCAGTGCTTCCAGGTTTTCCATGGTTGTCTAACTTCAATTGACTCACGCTTGCAACTATGAAAATATTTTTTTACAGAAAAAGGTATTAACTATCAATATGTATAACAATTGAAACTGAATTAATCGAATCCGAATGTTTAGAATGTTTGAAAACAAGTCAATAAACAAACCTGCCCACAAATATGTAAACATACTTATATATATACACACAGAGTTATATGGTAAAGAAAAGAATAGTAAGTGAACAAAATATGAGTCCCAGTAACTTCTGATAGTTTGTTATTTACAAAAGTAAGTATTTATATATCAAGGTTAGAATAAAGAAGAAACAATAAACAATTTCAACCAACCACTAAAACTCAATAATAATAATAATAATAGTAATAATAATAATAATAATAGTAATAATAGTAATAATAATAATGACAATAAGATCCAATATGGTGATATTCTACAGCTGTTATGTATGTAGTTAAATTATACCATTCAGATAGTAAGCTCTATTACAAGTTTTTTAAAAAATCACTGAAAATATAAGGGAGAACTGAAAAGTCTACAACTCATTGATCACTAAATGGTGAGCGATGTTATATTTAGCTAATCTTTGATCTAAATCATTCGATATAAGCTTTAAACTATGTTAGGCGGTTGAAGTGAAAATCATTCACTTCAAGATTGTAGGTATGTATTGTTGAAATGTGTCAACTAG